ATCTTTACAGAGAGCTCTCTTGTAGTCGTACTTTCGATTAAACTTTATCTTAAGCTCTGGGCGACGCTTTATGAATGCTTTAGGCCAGTTAGGGCCAACAGGGTCGCGGTGGCGGGCAGCTAGCAAAGAATTAGCTAGATCTTTGACAGCAGAAAGGCGCAGCGGAAATCCTCTTGCATCAAGATCAAGAATATTCTTAACAATCACCTCCTCTTCTGTTATAAGTAGTTTCATTAAGTTGGGCGAACAATCTTGTCGAGAAGGCTTTCCTGCGAGTCTTCGTCTTAGGGTACGTTCAGGCACGTTGTAGAGAGCTGCAGCGCGTGGAATGTTAATTGTCGCGTCGCATTTAATAGCCTGAATTGCAAGCTGTACTTGAGACTCTTTTGAAGACTTTTTTGAATGAATTTGTTGAGACATCGCGAGTAGTAGTGAAAGTTGATGGGGGCTTGGCATTTTCGGTCACTCGCTATTCTTGGCCACTCGCTATACTTTGACGTTATATAAAGAAAAAAGGGTTTTTTTTTCAAGTATGTAAATCTTATTATTTTAAAAGCTAGAATTGTAGAAAATATAAATATAAATCAGCGTTCATTACTAATATACTTATTCATAGCCTATTAATGAAGTTATACGAGCTTTATGATAAGAAAGATCATAATATAGTAGATAATTAATAAATTTATACCTAGAGTGAATATAAACCTTATTTAAGCCTAAAAGAGTAATATATGAAAGTTAAATACTATATAAGATGGATTTTACTTATTTAGTTAAAGTAGTATTAAGAATCTTAAAACTATAATATCTTTATAGTCAAATCATAATACTCTTCAGAATTAAAACGTGGTCTATACATTATATATCAGTTTGATATTGAAAAAAACCACTTTTAGAAAACAGTTATATAATAATATATTTTATAAATTATCTTTCTTTATGATTTTGCGTATATATCTCTCTATAGCCGCTTACTAAGTAGAAAGTAGGTCTCCTACACTAAACTACTAGCTCCCTACATTCTAAATCTATCCTCTACCTACTTATAGCTATCTTAATAGGAGAGTTATTTAAGTTTTAAAATCTCTATTTTCTTGAACACTTTTTTTTAATGTTACTCCTCTGTATACTTTATCTATTCCATTTATTAATATACTTAATAAGTGATAAGAGCCTATTCAAGTTTGTTAATCTCTATTAGAAGTGATACACTTTCTCTTCCGCTATTCACTAGAAACTTATAACCTATAGCACTCTATAAAGCAATATCTAATTTATCTTTTTTGAACATCACTTATTATAATAAAACTCAGTCATTTTCCCTATCATAGATTAGAATTAACATTATTTAACATTAGATAATTTTCTTTTATTTTAAGATCTATATCAAAAACTAAGGACTTGACTTAGAAACAGTGTCAATAGTGAATATATTGTCCATCAGTAATAAAACTAAATGATGGGCTAGGGAGAGAATAGTGTTGAACTATCTTTTCCAATACAGTAAAACCAAGAAGAAGTAGTGACGAGATTACACGAAAGCACACTTGATAGTAGCTCCCTTACAGCACAATTGCTCGTGTTATAAAAATTAATTTGTTTTCGATGATACTCGTGATTGATTGAGCACAGCTAGAGAGCTTATTAACTCTGTACAACCCCTAATTTGCTGCAACAATTCCTATCGTGAGTATTCGATATTCCTATCGTACGTCAGTATTATAGTTATGTCTCACATCTACTTACTACCTACGATTTCGGTGAGATTGGGTTAGAATTCTGGGGCTGGCATCCGTTTCGTTCATACTCCGAAGCAATGTCGGGGAAGATTGCAACCTGGTGTTGAGTACCACATTGATCGAATGCCGCAAATTGCCAGTTGTTGCAGTCAGCAGAGTTAACAATAGTGACAACGCAATCTGGAAATGCAGCAATATTGTAGCCCGATCCAAAATTGTACATCCTCTTTCGGCCTGGAGTGGGAGCTGTAATTTTTCCGCATCCGCCTGTAACACCAAAGCTACTGTTTATTGTTAACTGAATAGGCGATATACTAAGTACAAACCATTCTTACTAGTGCACTCCACAAGTAACAGCTTGTCGAGCTTCGAGCGCACGCGCTTCCTCCACTATTTCTACTGCAGGCACAGCAGCACCTGTCATGCTGAGCAGAGCATAAAGGAACAAGTTCTGGGTCAACATGTTGCGTATCTTAGGATATTAAGTGAGCAATAAGAGGCTATATTGAAGTATTTGATAGTTTGATAGTGAAAAACAGCTATCTATCCACCACTTCTTATATGAAGACGCCCGGAAGTGGACGGCGCAGATTATTCACACATTGAGTTATACAAGGTCACAAGACCATGGAAGTTTTGGTCTGATCAGCCAGTACAACCCTGAAATGTACGATCAGACAGGTCAGCTTACACGGACTGACGGCTTCCGCTACTAATCTGTCAAACTGATGAGAGAGTTCTTAGACTAGCAGGGATTCATGGCTAGACCCTTCAATTGCCTATGTACTTATGCTGACCAGCGGGGGTTACCCAACCCTTGATAGCATTGTAGAGCTTTGATCTGGCGAGCCCGAGATCACATAGCAAACCCTAGCGACTCATGAATATAAGCTGCTACAATCACATTTATATCAAGAACGTGGAAGCTTTGTTCTCATTGTCTAGTCGCTACGGAACTATTCCAATAGGGCTTGCAATACGAAACAAGCACAAGGGCATCTAAGATGAGCATTGTGTAACGCCTACCCGCTCCAGAGCCTCTTATTCAGAATCATCTCGGCCTTGTTCTGATCTGACAGTCCTACGATTTTGACTTTTTTAATGAATATACAATGCCGCAGGCTGTGATAGATCCTGCTAGATCTAAGTTTGTGAGAACAGGCCCCATCAAAATCATCCTCAAAACAGACAGGCTAACCCAACAAGACTATGAATTTGCATATCACTTTATGAACCATTGAGAATACCTCCGCATCTGTTAGCTTTATATCCCGACAACCACACGCAATGTTGCATCTAGTCCATGGAAAAAAACCGCGGGCGCCCGGCTTAGCTGACATAGTCACTCCTACACACTCTTAACTAGTACATCTTATTCAGACCACGTATAATTCGTACCCAGGATTTGCAGTCTCACTCTATCAGCTTTCGCGTTCATGAACGGCTTTGCATTCACATCACAGTTCAAAAGAATTCCAGCCTCATTCTGAAGTGTCTCGAAAATCACTGAGAAAAACTTGAACAAACAAGCTAACATCCATTCCGATAGGCAACTTGCAATAGTCTTGACGTCATGAGTGTCTTCAATCCTCTTTTGAATGGCTACTTGCAAACTTAGCAATTAAACAACCTTATTCTCTTTTTATAGATTTATGTAACCATTTTGAGCTTTGATCTACCAGTATCACTGTGTACTGTCAGTGCGCAGCTTGATAATTCCGTTGCCAAGGGGAGTCAACCTTGTGCTGGTGAGACGAGATTTAAAGTTTCTTCTCCGCTTGATTGATAGGCTGGGAATAACTCAAGGAAGCCAAACAAATGTTGTGCGCAAGGCCCGAACCCTGATTAGCAAATTGATACCATTTATCAAACTTAGCAACCACGGCAGCGTGTAGAGCTCATGCACACTTGACTCGCACTGCAGTCTCGCTTCAATCATGCTTATTATTGCCAACGCCCAAAGCAGTAGCTTACATCTTTCACAACAGGTTAATCGATTTTTAAATTGATCATCCAGAGAAGCATTGCATCAACAGTCTGATAGGCACCCTCACTTCAGCCTAGAATATGTAGCGTTACCACAACTGTACTATCAGCCGATAGTCTTTCCAGGCTATGGATAAGCTAAATAAATAGACAAAATCGTAGTGCTGAACACAATTGAGTGAAACAACAGCGCAACCTCCGGCTACAGTAAGCGCAACGATGTCCTGAGTGTGTCAGACACAGTTTCTAGTCAGCAATACCAGCGCCCGTAGTTCAATTGATTCAATTTGAAGACCTTATCTGATTCTATTAGTCTAACCTTATTCGTCAGATGCAGTCAGCATTTTCTTGTTCTTTATCTGCCTAGAACATCATCATATCCCTGTTGATACTGATGACAATAAGCTTATGTTCTTACTCACCACCGTTTTGTGAAATCCATTGTGTCAGCACGTGGCAGTCAATCGTTAAATAGATGTTGTTTGTCACAGTGTTTCTTGACCCCATAGACTAATTATATGCCCAAGTGGCCTTGCTGTACATACAATACCACCAGCCATAGTACCCTTAGTCTAGAACACTGCGAAATGAAACCATATACGGTACATGTTGAACGCGGCACATTATATTTAGCAGCAGACACTGCACGGACTACGGCTGACACAGCTTCTAGACTTTCAACATGCTTGTTTTAAGCATGGGAAGTATAGTGAGTTTCTACAAGTGAGACCTCACAACCAAGAGTACGTCATGACTTGATCATAACAGTTAGATACTTTTCTTCAGCAAGCTGGTGGAAAGGTATAAATACATCTCTAAGGTCAATTGTGGAGATATAACAGATACAATAACACTAAGAACGTTAAAAGCAATCATGCAATTCTCTTTTCAACTAACCGTCTTCCTTGCTGGACTCTCTCTAACGTCGGCTGCCCCATCTGTGTAGGCACTAAAGGAGAAAGACCTCACAAAGAGGGCCTGCGCGCCAACAGGCCAAGAGTCTTGCTGTGTCAAAGGGTATGTCTAGGGAAAATGACATCAACGTTTCTTCTCATGTTAGGATCAAGTCTAACCCTTCAACAGCTTCTATAGGGTCAATGGAGCTCAAACGAACATTCAAACATTGGTTCCTTTTGGAGATAATGGCGGCTTGACTAACATCGGGATTCGTTCGGGGTGCAGCGTTAATATCGATCGCACTTGTGCCAATGCTGGCGGATGCAGTGGCTGGGCAGTTCAGAGTCGCAATGGCTGCGCTGGTGTGGAAATCAGCGTCAACTTCCTGGATACATGCGGCACATAGTTCACATACATACCTGGTGTTAGTATCATTTACTGACTGTTTCTTCCAGCTAAAGCACGCATATATTCAACATACATGCTGTTTTCGGTTCATGAAGATTGCCTTTAAGTAGTTCGAACAAATGCAATGATTACACTGAATCTTATAATTATGCTGTGATAGAATCACGAGCTGACAATACAATCAAACACTAATTCAAGTATTAAAGTTGCAGAGAAAGGCATATGGAACAGTGATCGTGGTGGTAACCACCGTCTCCTAGCAAGGTACAGGTCTGGCGCCCAGGCGCTTTGCCCATCAGGCTAGGCGATGACAATCTTCTCTAAGAAACTTAGGGTTGTATCGCTCTGATTGGGCTATCTGTTGACATCGGCAAGGCAGACATTGTTGCAAATAACATGCTTACAATAACTTTCCTATCTGCGAATCTAGTTTTTATTCATGAGAAAGCTAAGCTTTTGATGAACATTGTTATGTATGAGGTACTACGACATGAGGAATACCTATTTCTGCACCAGCCGACACCTTTGCATGTGTTTGCTCCATCTAGAAGTTAAAAAGCCATTGATTATCTTGCAGAGTGGAAAATACACAGGCACAGTGGTGGTCGATTTCACTCTTTGGGGTGAACAGATAAAGGTAAGCCCCGTAACACAATCTGAGGTTGAACAGCGAGACGGATAGCATCACAGATCCTTCAGCAGTGTGGCAACATATTTTATCAGTGATAGATTGGGTGGTCAGGGCCGTAAGATTGTGTGATGTATAGTGGGCCGTGGCCCGAAAAACATTTTGCTACAGACTTCTTCTGGACCGAACAGTGACCCGGACGCACTTATATTGATCAAAGAGATCAAAGCCATAGGCGTTAATGTGGTCAGTCTGGCTTGCCAAACACAGACTAAAATCTCTTGAAAAAGACTTTGCAGCAGCGACGGAGGAATTGCCAGCTATCAGAGGTTGTGTGCAAATACCCAGATTTCTTTATGTAACTGTTTCCGTCTTAGGATTCTGTGCAGTAATTATGGGCTATCTAGTGAGCCTTATCGATGATATGCTGATGAATATAACAGCAAGTGCGTTCCACACCGCCATGGATCCAAAACTCATGGGGTCTTGGAACCTCCACACTTTACTTCTGGAAGATCTTGACTTTTTTTTATTGATCTTTCTTCATTCAGTGAAGTTATCAGCAACTGTGGCCAGTGCAATTGCGCTGCGGGCCATTCGTTTGAGGATGCCCTTGCACGGCACTGTGTATGTCAAGGCCAAAAAGCTGTCTCTGTGGACTTGGAGGTGGGAACCTCTGGGTGGGCAGGATTCACGAAAGCTACGGGGAAATTTAACCGCCATGGTCATACAGCCCATCTCAGATCCAACGCTCGTTCAGCTTGGCACTGAGGAGAGCTGGGACGACCCGTCCGAATGGTACCAGACGAGCGGACCTTGTAGTGGCTGCGAGTGTCAGTGTGGACAGAATTTCGGGGCTCCTGGACCCATGATAGGGGCCACTGCCCCCTTGGCGCATCTAATCATATCCACGTACTTGAGCGATGTCAGTCATTAGCCTCTCCATTCACCCCGGTGCTGCATGGAACCGGCTTATAATAGCATGCCAGGACAGCCGGCTCGGATTATTTAGCTCAGGCACCGCAAGCCACATAGGGGCCAGCTGACTAGTCCGAATCCGGCAAGGCTTCAGCGGGACCCGGACAGCGCACGTGGTGATGCATCGCGGCCAACGTCGCTCATGTCCGATTTCCCAACATTCATCTGCCAATCGGGGAATACCACGGCCGCTATGCTATTGCCAAGCTGCTTATTCCCTCCAGCCGCTGCAAGCCCCAGCTCTCGTTTTGCCAGATTGGGCCCATCCTTCTCATCGTCTATTCACACTGACTCTTACCATGATGCCATTTCTCTCCCCTCTGCTAATCTGCATAGTGGATACTGCGCAAGCCTTGCGCAGCGCCAGTTCTAGCCCTGCCACAGTTCGGTTGCAGACTGGTGCGATCTGGGCATGAGGCGGACGCAGTGTGCTCTTGGCATTCGAGTGGATCAAATGCTTGTAATGTGTAGGACACTCTTACCGAGTGCTCATTGAAGCTCACTGACAATGATCTGGCTCTACAACTTGCAATAGCTAAGAGGTGGCGTGGTGCAAGAGCAGATTGACAGCATTCTGTGGCCATGGCCATTTGTCCTCGTAGCGCACTTCACTGATGCACCCTCGAGTCACTGTTTGCACGACATTTCTAACGGCCGCGGCTTATCCAATTTGGCTCGTCGACCTCAGCTCGCCATAGGACTTCGAGGCCAACGCCACAGATCTAGTGTATCGCCTCCTCCGCTCAAGTATCCTACTGACCATGTACATGAATGGCTATAAAGGCTCATTGTGCCCACGTACAGAGGTCCTCATCAGCATCGTTCGCTGTCATCTCCTCTTCCTCAACCTTGGATCATTCCCCGACCTCCACCATGCATCTGTTCCACACTTTCGCGACTTTGGCCATGACGGGCTGCGTGGCTGCTCTGCCTCAATCCATCCCGCTCGATACAGTCGCTGAGATTCCGGCTGCACCAATTACCGAGACTCCGCTTGGTGAGGGTGCCGGTACCAAGGTTGTTCCGTATAAACCTGATGCTGTGGTTGCCAACACGTTCGCCTCAGTCCTTGCGAATCCTGCGTCTGCGGACAAGACGCTGAAGCGCAGAGCTTGGGACTGCTCAGAACAGCCTCTAGGAGCAGGGCTGCATGCCAGGCTGAGTCTCAATTCAACATTGATCATCTCGACAGCCGCATGTCGTGCCAATTCTTCAACACCTATGTTCTCATGAAAAATGGCGAGCCGCAGGGCCAGTACTGCTCTATGTATACCCAGAAGTGGGCGAGGGATGTTGCCGTCAATGATGGCCAGTGGCGTGGAGATGACCATTACACAATCGCGTCCAGCTATTCCTATTCCAACACGACGAATCCTGGAACGCCTAAGCTTCCCTGCAATGTCGCCGCCGCAAAGTCTGCCATTGTAGCCTCATCTCTGCAGCCATTCTGCTTTACGCTTCTTGGATACACTACTCCGGTTTCAACTGTCGTTGCCACCGAATTCACCACTGTACCCGCTACTACGGTTGTCAACACCGTCTCGCCTGTAACCACGACCACGACGACAGTCACTCGGGCTCCTCGAAAGCGCGATGTTGCCAGCCCTGCTACGCCTGCCGCTCTTACTACGTTTGCTGCCAGCGCTGTCTCTGCGGCCTGCAGCCTCCAAGCCACGCCCGTTACAGAAACTACCACGACTTCCACTACCACTGTCGCCACCGTTAGTTCCGGCACTTTAGCTACAACCACAACTCTCCCGGTCAGTACTACAGTCGTTACTTCTACAGTTACACCTTCGCCTACCTGCACTGCTCGCAGCGTCAACCTCGTTCAGAACGGTGGCTTCGAGAATGGCATGTCAGCTTGGTCCCAGTCTGTCTACGGTCGTAACAACCCACCGACCGCCTGGGGTGTGGTTGGAGGTGGCTCTAGCGGCGGTGCTTCGTACGGCTTGACAGCTGGTGGCTCAGGCACCGGCGCTATCCTGTCTCAACAGATCACGGGCCTGACCCCGGGTGTCACTTACAGCTTCTCGTACAAATACTCTCACACTACCAATTCAGCCAGTTCGATCAACTGCGGCATATACAGCATAGGATTGGCGTCACAGAGCATCACGAGCGACAACACCTTCAACACGTGGCTTTCAGGACCGCCCAGCTGGTATGGAGCCACTTTTGTGCCTACGGGAAGCAGCGGAACGCTAGAGTGCTTCTTTGTCTCAACCTATGGCCAGTCATTCCGCCTTGACGAGATGTATCTCGGGTGCTAGAGTGAAAGAAGACTGTGACAAGACCAAGGTCAGCCAGATAGGAACATTGGGAAGGGGGGCTCTTATTCAATTATGTAATCTTAATTCTTACTCAGTTAATGTATATCTCTCGATACTTCTCATTAGAGATACCATCGGCTCGTTTGTTTCTAGATCAATGTTTATTTTGTTTCATCAAATATCTAAAACGACCAGGTTATCAAAGACGCAAAGCCTGAAGAACCAATATGCCTTTTGAAGGACAAATCGCATTTAACTTATACTTTCTAGTAACAGCTCCAGTGTTAAGTTACCCTGACTGCTTTCTAGAATCATTATACAAGACACACATATGTAACAAAGGTTTCCTCCGGCTTTCGCAAAGGATCACCACCTGAGTATCAGAACGTTGTTTTAAGCAAAGGAAATTCTATACAAAGCACTTGCCATTTTAGGCTGCAGGACGTAGTTGCATGCAAAATGAGTGCTGAACGACTAGAAATTAGAGACGAAGCATCTCCCAAGAGGAGACCTAGTCAGTGGCAGAATGCAGAGGTTTAGTTAGCCTTGGAATATCACAGCAGCAGCACCGTTTGGGCTCATCAATGTCAACATTGGAACGGCGTCGTCATCATCACAAAGCACAATGGAGGCACAATGCAGAGGAGCCAGATTGTGTTGCATTTTGTTCAGGATGTGCTAGCAAACCAAACCTTTGCAAAGCAACATACCAAAACTGCGCTACGCAATCAGTTAACTTGATGTTGGGAGACAAGGGGACAGGATGAGTTCTCCGGGGTTAACGAAACGAAGCAAGACGACGCGAGACCAAGGTAATGAGCAGCGCTTGCTATGACCATTGGTGAAGGGTATTACCGAAGAAGACAAACACTCATGCACATGGCGAAAGCCCATCAAAAATGAGCATGAAAGTAGGGTGTTACCGTATTAAAAAAAAGGAAACAATGAAGAGCGTGAACTTTTGGAAAAATGGAAAACGAGTCGATGTAGATGCAAAAGCCAAGAGCGTGGGGGCTCTCTGTGGCGCAGCGGTCATTGCTCTCGATGCTGGTTTCGCCTATGCCTCTGGAGATTGTCCTTGCGCGAGAAGCCAGCGAGGTTGGTACAGTCAGGATGTTCACAGTGAAAGGTAGCCATGGGCGCCGATGGGTCACTGTGGCGACGCTCGTGTCTGCGAAGGTCTTTCGGGTACAGAAAGCCCTTGTTGCAGGTCGGACATACGTGAGGCCGCTCACTCTGGTGATTCGTCCTTTGATGGCGGCTGGCAACGGTCAGTTACGTGGTTTGCGCACTCGCGCGAGCAGGCTTACTTGAGATCGCATTGGCGGTTGAAGGCTTCATCACATCCAAACGCATTGCAGACGAAGCCGCGAGGGCGAGGAGCTTGCCGCCTGTGTGGTCGCTTCTTGGGCTTTGGCAGGTGCGACGACGAGCGGTCGCCAGGAGTATACGTTTCTCCAATGTGCGCGAGCACTGTATTTGGCTGCACCGTCGTCTCATTGGCGTCCATGTATTGCATGTATTCGTCGTTCAAAAGTGGTCGGTGGTCGCCAGTGACGTAGTGCTGCACGGGCGCCAGGTCCACTTCGGTCTCACCGGGTTCAGGCAGCGGGGTGTCGACGAGACCGTGGTCTGCGATGAGCGTTGTTGCGTCGTAGTGTGGCATCTGCGGTTGTTGCTGTTAGGACAAAGTTGCGAAGAGCCGGGTGAAGTCGTACTATGCACCAGCAGAGCTCGTACTGCATACCGCAGAGCTGGCACAGGAACAGCTCGTCCATGTTGAGGAACGGCAGTTCCAATGGAGTGCCGGGCGGTGTTAACTCCATGATCGGGCTTGACGCTGCCACGGGCTGGAGCAGAACAGCGAGTAAGACTGCCGAGAGCAACAGCATGTACATGCTGCAGTATGGGCTTGGATGCCTAAGGACGGACTTGGGTTCGACGACGAGACCAAGGTAGAGAGAGGTGCGAGGCTCAAGGGATGAACCCCAGGAGTCGTGATGGTTAGACAATAGCAATGCTAGGGGAGTCTGGCGCTGGAGAAGGAAGAAGAAGAAGAAGAAGGGAGGAAAGCTCCAGACCAAAAAAAGTGGTGAAGAGGGCGTGAGATCTAGCACTCAGGTGCATGCCGCGCGGAGAGGACTATACGGAGGCCGGCTGCCTGAGGAGCCACAGGTCACGGGCGGCTGTGGCTATGTTGATAACGTGGGTTCCGACCATTTTATCAATTTTGCAGCTTCTGTAGCTACAGCTCTGTCAGTCCAACGGGTTAGCGGCGATGAAAGTGCACCTTTGCCGCGATGAAGAGTGCAATTTGTGGTTGCGAGGGGACAGGCGACGGCGGCGGCGAGCGGCGACCAAGGGATGCGCAACCCTCGACCCTCTGCACGCCATGCCACTTCGAGGCGCGGGGAGAGAAGCGGCTCAATGCTGCACGTGACCTTCCGCCGCTGTTGGTTTCTGAAAATCGGTTCGCATCTGTGATTGACAAATCGATATGGTGAAAGCGGGCTTCGAGGTGTGCTGTAAGAGTAAAAAAACCTCGTGTCTGCCACAAGTTCATCTTGCTGAGAATACTCACGTGCACGCGTGCCAACGCATCTTGAGGTTGTCGCAACGCCATTCCCATCTCATTACCGCAAGCTCCGACTTGTTCCAATCCCTGAGCATTTCGCGCTCATCTTTTTTGTTCATCCAAGATGCAAGTACCCTGAGCTCTGTAGGGTTGAGTCGCGGGTTTTGGGTGCATGAGCAAGCAGTTGAGGGGTTATAAGAGCATGGAGAGAAATCGCCGCGACAGTGTGATATTTAGCTTGCTTATGCTCCGGCTGAGTTGCCAGGCTGGATATATAACGAGAGTCTTTGGACTGCCAGCGGCCTCACAGTGCCCCCGAGTCAGCATTGCATTAAGGCAGCCGCTTCAGCCATGCTGTTACCGTCGCTACGGATGGAGGCACACCTAACGCCTGTTTACTTGCGGCATCTGCAGCGCAGACAGCAAGCCTGATCCACGCCTTGAGTTTGATGGCTGGCTGGGACGCCTTAGGGTTGTCGATGTGGGCGGCCTCTAGGCATCCACAAAGCCAGGGATATTAGCACGACTCCGTCATTCGCCATGTTCTGCCGAACGGAGGACGCAAGCGCTTATTTGCAGTGGACGCGTTGATGAACAGCTTGCATTGCTCTGGGCGACGATGACAAGGATTATCTTGTCTACAGGCTGTTTTTCTTTGTGAGGCAGCTGCCCCGCATTGACTCACGCTGGCTTGCATTCCATCAGCTTTTGATGCATCGACCAGCTTCTGCGGGCAGCCAACAAGATCGCCAAACCACGCCGTTACAAAATATGTTATCGGTCCGTGGGCGCAAGTATGCAGCCTTGGATCTAGCGGCCAGCTACACCAAAGACCGTGGCCCTTTGTACGATCAAAGCAAGCATCCACATGGCCTCGTCTCTTTCAGAAATGCCGAGAATGTTAGTCCGTGCCACATGTACTGTCAAGTCTCTAACGCTGATGCAAATGGGTTGGACAGTTTCTCATGCAAGACGAAGCCCTTGCCTACGTCAAGACCAAGGTCAGCCTTCAAAGCCATGACAATATGTCTTACCTAAAGCATCACGTAGTGCATACCATGTCTTGAGCCGGCCTCTCTGACATACCATGATGGTCCATTTGGTTCCCGGCGGTTGAGGGCGGCAATGTCATCCTTTATCAACAAGCGCTTTGCACCAGCCTCAGCCGTAGCTATGGAGCATCTGTCATTCGTCAGCGGCGTCACAGCACTAAATGACATACTATCTCTTTGCCTGACCGAGGGAGAGGATGATGCCTTGCTCCTTGGCATGCCAATATATGGATCCTTTACAGGGGATATGCAAAGCATGTCGAGGTGTGTTAGATGCTTATAGCTTGGCAATCCGAAACTGACCTCCTCTGCAGCTGCAAGTTGATATATGCTCCATTTGGTGAGGTTGATCAGTTCGGTGCTGAGGCGGCTGATTGCTATGATCGTGCCCTAGTGCAGGCTGAACAACAGGGTATCAAGGTTCGGGCACTTGTATTGGCCAATCCGCATAATCCTCTCGGTGGGTAAACTTTCATCACGTGGAGACAAAGGAGAGCGACATTAACCTTGTAGGCCAATGTTATTCCCCAGACACATTGAAGGCACTTCTTGGCTTCTGCAACAAGCGCAGGATACACCTCATCAGTGACGAGATTTATGCCTTCTCCGCGTATCACACCGATGCATCATGCCCAGGTTTCACGTCAGTGCTCTCGCTAGAGACAACGGGTGTCATTGACAGTAGCCTTGTCCACGTCATGCATGGCATGTCCAAGGTAGGCTTCGCATTAGCTGCTACTCACAACTAGTCCATGGCTGAGAACCAATAGGATTTTGCTGCCGCTGGTCTGAGACTGGGATGCTTAATTACCAGAAACGAAGAGTTGACACAGGCTGTACAGTCTTTAGCGTAGGTATGACATTCTTATCAGCAGCTGATGATTAATGAGCGGCAGACGGTTCCATGGCGCATCACCAGTGACTGATGCGATTGCTGCGGCGATGCTTGAGGATGAGGAGTGGCATTTGGAATTCCTTGCCAAAAGCGCGCGTGCTCTAGGTGAACAGCGAAGGCTTGTCGCGGAAGCCCTTGACGCCGCAGGCATCGCCTATAGGCACGAGGCGTACGTATTCAGCATTCTGGCGGATGCGTCTTGTGTGCAGGGTGAGCTGATACGGCGGACAGAAACGCGGGGTTTTTCCTCTGGATTGATTTGTCGGCGTGCCTGCACAGCCCAACATGGGAGGCCGAAGACGACTTGAAGCAACGGCTGTATGATTGTGGGGTGGAAATGTCGGCTGCGCACGCGTACCATGGCGAGGTTCCAGGGCATTTCCGTTTCGTGTTCTCCATGGATAGAGCCAGCGTAGAGGAGAGGCTGCGGAGGATCATTGAGTTCCACGAGAAGAACAGGCTGGGGCGGGCTTGAGCGGGCGGCTTGGCAGGAGACGAGACGAGGAGGGTGAGAAGCTCGAGCTCGTGACCGCGCGAAAGGGCGCCACGCGACGGGGGCGTCCGTGCACTCGATCGACCCGCGCCATCGGACGGCCTCTGCTTGCCTCATGATTCCAGACATGCAGCCTAGACTTGTGCAAGCAATCATCACAGCCACAACACACGCACACACTTGCCCCCATGCTGCAATAGCCCACCCTGCCTGGCATCAGCATGCCGCCCATCCTCGTGCGAAAGCGCTCGCGTTCACCGGAGCCGCCACCGGAGCCGCCACCGAAACGGGTGCGCGCCCGCAACCCTCCAGCAGCCACTCAACGAGGCAGAGTATCTGTCTTCCAGACCTTGGATGCACCCCCCAAAGTCAAGCGCACACTGTCGCAGACAAGGGCTCTGTTGGACCAAGGCGATGACGCCGACAGCGAGTCGCCAGAATCGGATAGCGCCGACGGCGAGAGCAACGACAGCGAAGACGACGAGTGGGAGGATGCGCTCGGCGCACACCACCACCACCATGGCTCAGAGCCGAACCACGGAGCTGCACCCGTCATCACCGGAGACATTGCGCTGACTCTGTCTGCCGCGCCCAAATCCGCCTTCGACACACAAGCAGACGCAAGGAAAGGCCCGTCAAAGGCCCAGCGGCAGATACGAAGTGCCACGCACTGCTTGCATGTGCAGTATTTGATGTACCACAATCTATCAAGAAACGCCTGGATCCAGGACGGCGAGGTTCAAAAGACACTGGTGCAAGCTATGCCCCCCGGTTGCTGGCGCGAACTGGAAAAGTACTGGAACGATGCCGGGATCCGACATGGGCCCAGCCGTGTGGTAGTACAAAAACCACCCAGCCCTTCCGAGAAAGAACTTGAAACACCAAGGGGAAAGTGGAAGGATAGCGGAAAGAATGGCGTCCAAGTGTATCAAAGTCCACAAAAGCAAAGCAACCTTTGCCATGATAAGAAACAAGCCCAGGACAAGAAGACCTCTGAGAGGGACAAAAGGACCCGCGACTGGAGCACAGCATCTGAGCCGCTCGAGCAAAATACACCAAACCTCTCCGCTGGTGACCCCCTTCTGAGGCTCCTTAGGTATCTGTCAGCTTATTGGAAGTCCAAGTTTCAAGTCACTGTTCCCAGTCTGCGAAAGCGTGGTTATCTATCACCATCGGCGTTAGAGGCTGAGATCAACGCATGGAAGGACGATCCCCACTATCCATATCTTTTCGGTGAGCGCATCGAAAACATTAATGCTTTTCGAGAATGCGCAAACACGTGTCAGGGCAGTAGAGATGTTGGCGAGCAACTCTTTACAGCTCTTATTAGAGGGCTGGGGATTGAAGCGAGAATGGTTGTTAGTCTGCAACCGATTGGCTTTGGATGGAGCCAGAACGAACAAGGCAAACCAAAAAAACTGGACAGGCCGAACAACACAAAGCTTACCAATCAGCATATCCCGGTGACAAGTACTCCAATCAAAAGCAAAGCCAAGTCCCGGCCCGCTGCAGAAAAGAGGGGCGTATCAAACGACGTAAAAATGGATGACAGTAGCGACTTGAGTAGCGTCATCTCCATATCATCGGATTCGGAAGACATCAAACCAATAAAAAGATTGCCAAAACAGCGCAACTATGGTGAGGAGTTGCCATACCCTACGTACTGGACCGAAGCCATATCGCCTTTGACACACACACCGATATCGGTATCACCACTTCCTTGCACCATAATCGCAAGTGCATCTTCTCCAGACAAACTTTCCGACTTTTACGCTCGGGGCACAGCAGCCGACAAGGCAAAACAGGTATTGGCATACTTGATCGCCTTCTCTTCCGATGGCACTGCCAAAGATGTTACAACGCGCTATTTGCCTAAACGTCAGTGGCCTGGTCGGACCAAAGGTGTCCGTATGCCAATGGAGAAAGTGCCAATTCACAACAAGCATGGCAAAGTCAAGCGATGGGAAGAATGGGACTGGTTCAAATCTCTAATGCGCCCTTACGCGCGATCTTTTGACAAGCGCCAGCCTTGGGACGAGGTTGAGGACGAGGGTGATCTTGTGCCAGTACAGCCAACGAAGAAGGACATGGATGTTGAAGGGGGCAAGGAGACACTTCAAGGATATAAACACTCGGCCGAATATGTCTTGGAGCGTCATCTTCGACGCGAAGAAGCCCTCAGGCGCGGTGCGAATATTGTCAGATACTTTATCACGGGCAAGGGTGATAATGAAAAGTCCGAGCCAGTGTATCGCCGCAAAGACATTGTCCTATGCAAGACGCAAGAGTCCTGGCACAAAGAGGGCCGAGAAGTGCTGGAGGGTCAACAACCGCTCAAGCTTGTGCCCATGCGCGCCGTCACTGTCACCAGGAAGCGTGAGATTGAGGAGCGTCAGCGCGTCGAAGGCGGCAAGGTCAAACAGGGCCTCTATTCTAAAGAGCAAACGGACTGGATCATCCCTGACCCTATCGTTGATGGCAAGATTCCGCGCAATACATTCGGAAACATCGATGTATATGTCCCCACCATGGTGCCTAAAGGGGCTGTTCACGTACCTCTCAAAGGTACTGCGCGGATATGTCGAAAGCTCAACATCGACTATGCGGAAGCATGCACAGGCTTCGAGTTTGGCAAACAACGCGCTGTGCCCGTGATCACGGGTGTCGTGGTAGCAAAGGAGCATCAAGGCGTGCTTATCAACGCTTGGGAGGCCGAGGAGGCCGAGAAACAGAGAAAGGAAAGGGAAAAGAGGGAGAAATTCTTACTGGGACTTTGGAGGAGGTTTGCGTCTGGGTTGAGAATCGTTGATAGGATGAAAGAAGAGTATGGAGAGGACATGGAGCTGCCTGTCAAGGAAGAGGTGGTACAACTGGAGGAAGAGAAAGACGGAGAGAAAACGTCACAATGGGAAGTGTTCCAAAACCACACCGATTTCGAGGGTGGCTTTGTGCGTGACGACGCAGAGGCCTTTGAAGACAGTGGTGGGGGGATAGACAAAACGCATCAAATACGAAAGCGCGACCAAGACATGGCGGGCGGCTTCCTGCCAGCTAGCCAGGAAGAAAATGGAGAGCTGGTGATTGATGCGGGCGAAAAGAAAGACTTGCATGTGCACGTAGCAGACACTGCGCATCGCATACCAATCTCACTAACACAAGCGTTACGGCAAACTCGAAGCAAAGGGTGCGAACAAGCAGATGGGGGTGAAGCGGCGGGTTCAAAGCAAGACATGGGAGATGGGCAGATGAAGGAATATAAAGACGAGAGTCAAGATGAACGGGCGATAGATGGAGATGTTCACCGGAAACGGACCATTGTCACACCATGTAATCGTGGGCGTGGGCGTCCTCGTGGGCGTGGCACCAAGGTTCATCAATCTCGCTCAGCATCCAATAGAGATGTTTCTGATGCGCCTTCGGGATCGCCAACGCCTCCACGACGCACTCGGTCTGGGCCTAGGCGCAAAGCTGCCAGCAAAAGCGATGGGCAAGTCAAGAGCCACTTTTTTGCAGAAGCGAGCGAAGGCGAGACGGATATGACGGATATGACTGACCGACACTCGCCAAGGAAAAAGACATGTCGAGGGCGCGGGACTGGTAGAGGGAGAGGTGGCGTACGGGGCAAGGCGGGGAAGGCCAAGTAGTTATACGGGGATAGTGGATCGTGCATGTATAAAGGCTGCAGATATGATTCCAAGTTCAAGTGGAGAGACTGGAGGTGCGGAGCGGGATTCATACACGACGTCCAAGCAGCTGCGCAGTGCATGACTGACAAATGGTAGTCTAGCTGGATGGAGAGAGACGGCAGTCCGCAAGTCCGTAATGGCAAAAAGAAATCAAGGGTTCTCCTGGAAGGTGCAGTAACAGTAATAAGACAAACGCCAAATCAAGGCGAAAGGGCGCCTCGTTTCCTTGGACCACATCATTCTCCCCCACATGCAACAAGAGTGCTGCCTCTGATATGCCTTACCAGGCCTTGCCACATGCCCCAACCAGACGAATACGATGCCGCGCGACCACGTCAGGAGGCAACCAACGTCACGACTCGTTCCGTGCAGGAATTGCAGCTATTTGTAGCGCACAGCCTGGCGCAAAGGAAGGCTGGGCAAAGTCTTGGTTCCGCCATGGCCCCCAGCTCCGGTCCTTGGCGCTGCAATTCCCCTTATCATTACCTGCAGCCATGCCATCGCACCAGCCGACACTCTGGCAGCCTGAAGAAGAAAATTTTGTTTTGGCCAACGTGCGCAGTTGTTGGCGTGCATGCGCATTGTTGGGGGGTGGGTGTTCAGGCAAATAGCCGGCTAGGCTTTTGTACCGCTGAGCAAGCGAGCACAGTCGCGCATGACTGGACTACTACTCATGTTAGCTTTTTGGAGATTAGAAATGCCAAACAATGGTTCCTGGACATGGTGGAAGCATGTCAATAACCAAGTGGCATGCTTCAGGTAAACAAGGCTGTCAGCTGTCCCCGGCAGCGCTTTTGTTTCATCGCTCCGTTGTCCCATCCCGAGAGGCCCTCCTCGCCACGGCGTCTGGTCGTATTCGTCCCTTAGCTGTGCCCGTTCGCGTGCTCTTGGCTCCAATATTTCCCATGGCGGATCCCACGACTTAGCCCGCGCTCATTAGCTTCCCGAAACGTCATGGTTTCCCCGTCCCTATGGGTCGACATGTTGATAGCTGCTTGGTATAAGTATTCAGCGCCTTTCGGCACCTCTGATTCTCTCCCCCCCCTTACGTCCTCGTTGACCCGTCACTAGGCCTGCCATTGTTTCTTTATTTTTTTTGGCAGCCTGTCCACTCGCTTTTCTCTCTATCTCTCTTGTTTATTAGCAGTCCGTCCTAGTCCTTAATAATACTGTGTATTTTTTACAAGCAAACATGCGCCTTACCGACGTTGCTACCGCCGCACTCGTGGCTCCTCTTGTAGCAGCCCATGGAGCTGTCCCGGGAGCCCCCAAAGTTTTTGGTCTTCCCAGGGACCTGCAGGCGGATTTCAAAGGCCCAGTTGCTGCCCGCACACTTCGGCATCCGGCTGAACCAAGGCATGGGCTCTTAGAGACTCGTCAGGGAGGTCAGAACGGCCGCTGTGGGCCCAGCTTTGGCAATGCCAAATGTGCAGCGGGATACTGCTGCTCAGGATCCGTACGTCAAACACGAAAAACGTAAATTAAGGTACCCTTCGACTAATAACGATAAGGGATATTGCGGTACCAGCAAGGACCATTGCCAAGCACCCGACTGCTTGATTGACTTCGGTCCGGCCTGTGATGCCAACAAGACACCGGGTGGTGCTAGCACTCGCAACGACGCCCGTCCCCAAAAGGGCAATGTTGCGTACGGTGGGGCTGGCATCTATACCTGTCAAAAAGCGGGAACCGTCGCCATTACCTACGATGATGGGTTAGTAAGATTGTTTGCGACTACGCAGGCGCTAGCGAAGCATGCTTACTTATGGTCCTGGTGACTAACCCACATGCAGGCCCTACATCTACACGGACCGTGTTCTGGATCAGTTTGCCTCGTACGGATTCAAAGCTACCTTTTTCGTTACTGGCATCAACCTTGGAAAAGGTGCCATTGACACGACTGCGCAATGGTCCACCGTCATCAAGCGCATGGTCGCAGAGGGCCACCAGGTCGCATCTCACACTTGGTCGCATCAAGATCTTAGCGTCATCACTGACGCGCAGCGTTACGACCAAATGGTCAAGAATGAAATGGCCATTAGGAACATCATTGGAAAGTACCCGACATACATGCGTCCGCCTTACTCGTCCTGCAATGCCGCATGCCAGACCGTGATGAAGAACCTGGGCTACGTCATCAGCTACTTTGACCTCGACACGGTATGTGAAACTCATGGTTCTTCTTTTCTTTTCTTTGCTTTGTTCTTCTCTCCATCCTCTGCACTTTGTACCAAGGATAAGCATACTGATTTGGACCAACTAGGATGACTACAACCAGCTGTCGACCATCCAAGTCGCAAAGGATAACTTCAAGCGTATCCTCGACGCAACATCCGGTGGCCCAACCTCTGGAGACCGTCTTGCCATTGCCCACGACATTCACGAGCAGACGGCGCTGAACCTCACCGGATACATGCTGCAGTACCTGAAGTCCAAGGGCTACCGCGGCGTCACCATGGGCGAATGCATGGGTGAGCCCGAAGCAAACTGGTACCGTACCTCTGGCGAGACGGTTACGCCTCCTCCGTCCAACGGCGGCGGCGGCGGCAACAGTGGCACCCCTGTTTCCAGCGACGGCCAATGCGGTTCTGGCAAGGGAACGTGCGCCGGTTCGTCCTTTGGAAACTGCTGCTCCCAGTACGGCTGGTGCGGTAGCACTTCTGACCACTGCGGCACGGGCTGCAACTCTGCGTTTGGAACTTGCTCTGGTACGGGCGGAGGCAGTGGTGGTGGTAGCGGCAGCACGCCGGCTCCTGGTAAGCAGGTTTCGACGGATGGTACGTGCGGAACTCAGGGTGGAGCGACGTGTGCGGGGTCGACGTTTGGCAACTGTTGCTCGCAGTATGGGTGGTGTGGAAGCACCAGCGGCCACTGTGGTGCGGGCTGTGATAAGACGTCTGGTACCTGCAATTAACCAGTTTGCCGTGTAATTCAGGCTGCAAGATGTTGTTTCTTATTCAACTAAAAAGAGATCAGCATGATCAGCGTGTTGTAATAGTAGTTGTCCAAGAAAAGAAATGCGTTGTGGTGTCAATCTGTTGAGCTCTTGTACTCTTGACCGCGTGCGTAGGCTTGGAGTCTGATGTGTTCAGTTGATGGACGGTTTGGTCTGCCTGTATGACTACAGAGAATGACGGTGTTTGAATACAGGGCTGTGAGTATTGGCCATGCATAATATACAGGTCGTCATCGACTGTGATGGTCCAAGTGATGGCAGTGAGACTTTACGCCATAGATGTTGGAGATTAGCAGATTCCGACATATATCATCTCTGCAAACACATGTTGAAGACATGCTTGCAATTGAGACAGACATGTCTGGCTCTCTAATTCATACTCGGGTAGAAGGAGCAAACGCAGAGTCTTCTATCGTCGCGTGAAAACTCACCACAACGGAAGGGTACGTAATACGTCTACCCTGGCACGCATTGTGAAACCACAAAGTCTAGGTTTTGGATGCCTTGGCTGAAACTTCCCCCTCATCCGGCAAGAACCTCAGGTTGTACAATTTCAGCGTCCATCATTACTATTATTTCGAATCAACCTTGTTCTTGTCGGGTAATATACCGCGAATGATTGTCGTAGCACTGCTAGTTTTATTCCCTCTATGCCTAGGGCTTCTCGGTGCATACTACGGCTACAGGCGCTATGTACAGCGACGCGGCCAAGTGCACGATGAAGAGCGTATGCGGGATGTTCGGGATGACGATGGTACAGAGGTACAGGATGGTGGGCGTGCAGACAAGAGATATCATGGTAGTCAGTGGTACCGAGATGGTGACAATGTGTCTGCAAATCCGGCGTCGATTGACAAAACGGTGGCTTCTAACGCTCGTGTGAACAAGTCAGGCGGAGAAGGTGTGATTAATGTACCAGAAGCTGTATATCTGAACGTCGAGGGAAAAGAGAAGGAACAAGAAAGGCCCCAAAGACGCGATTCCCAGCCAGATGAGCAGAGGCGTGACAGTGGATCTTGGGACTGGGAGAAGGACGGGTACGGGAACTCGACAATACAGAAAGCAAAGGTTGTGACTCTGACAACTTCTGGATCGATGAGGAGGAAGCCAGCCGTGCAAGGCGTCGACAAGATATATGATGCTACGCAGCCGGTAGCGCTGGAAATATGGAATAAGATCAATAACCGTGAGTTGCAGCCTTTGAGGCCGAAAGCGCAAGAGGCGGTGGAACAGATTGATGAGGCAGTACTGGACACAGCGGTGGATTACAGAGTGCCTGATGAAAGAAGGAAAGTTGCCGATCCTGGAGACAGCAACAAGCACACGACGCCTGTCTAGCACAGCCTCAGCACCAAGCCAGATGGCACTGGGCCGCAGTGCAAGAGGTAGCCCGAGTAGCGCAAACTCGACGCAACATGGAGGAAGAGAAAAATAGCAAAGAGAAGGAGGACGAATAGGAAAAGAAGTAGAGCGAGTCGAGGCAGAAGCGCGGGCGCAGAAGCGGAGGCAAGAGTGCGAAGAGCGTGAGGCGGATGACCGAGGCCCGGAAAAAGAGCGAGAAAATGAATGAAGAGCGACGACTCGAAGGAAAGACATGAGAAATGAGCATCAGAACGAAACAAAAGGTTGGACGTGTCTCGAGCATGGGGTGATGCAGGTCGACACCAATGTTATAGAGGTAGGTAAGTAAGCGAGGGCTGGTCTCGAGCGTGTTGGAGCAGCGCAGAGCGTACGTACTACATGTGCGGTCAACATGGTGGTGGAGCCAGCGCCGGCCCAAGGATGTTCCGGGGCACTGAATGCGGCGGCGGCGGTCGTGGTGTCAGCGTTGTGCGCATCGTGGGACGGATTCGAGAATCTTCTGCGGCATTGGAAATGCACTTGTACATGGGCGTCTAGCCATACTGTAGTAGTTAGCGAAGCGGAGGGCCGAGTGCAGGGCAGAGCGACGGCGGAACTGGGCGAGGCTGCTGGCTGGCGGAAGGGCAGGGAGGGGATACAGACGAGTTTTGTATATACATTATTGTAGCTTCGACTCGATGTGCTTGGCGTGGTGAAGGGGGTGGAGGGGGTGGAGGGGGCGACGAGGGCGGCGAGGGCGACGAGGAGCTTGGACGCAGCCGGCGATGATGTCGAGATGCCGACCGAGTGCTTGTGCCTGCAAAGCGCATGCCACCGCCACCACGGCCACCACACGTCTCCCGCCATTGCTCCCCTCTCCCCGCCCTCGCCCTCGCATCGTCTTCGGTGGCGAGGACACGTGTGCTGCCTGTCTCTTCCTCCGCTCTTTTTATTCCCTGTATACTACTACGTTGCATAGATAGAAGAATTGGAGCAGCCGCCGCCGCCGCGAGCATCCCTCCACCAAACACCACCACCACTAACACCACTACCACCACCATGTTCCAGAGCCAGAACCTGCCGTGGCGGGCAGCCCTTCGCCACGCATCGCGCTCCGCCCCGCCCACCGTCACCGCCAGAGCAGCATCGCGACACCTGCCCGCCCAATGTGCCGCCTCTCTCGTCGCCCGCCCGCCCCTCCGCTGCCCCAAGCCCCCCGCCGCCCTCTTCGCATACCGCACCTTCTCCACGTCGCTGAGCAGGCCAAAGGAAAAGGACCCCAAGACGCCGCCCGAGCCGCTGGACGAGGCCACCAACGACGACGAGCCCGACGAGGCCAAGAAGCTCCACGCCAAGAACGACGCCCCAGAGCCAATTCCCTCGCGGACAGGCGCTGGCCGAGGCAGCGCAGCAGGCGGAGGCGGCGATGGCAGTGGCGGCGATGGCGGTGGCAGGAAGCGAAAGGGCTCGGAGCGGGCGCTTGTCAAGCCCTCGATACCCGATGTCTACCCCCAGGTCATGGCAATTCCCCTCGTCAAGCGCCCCTTGTTCCCCGGCTTCTACAAGGCCATCACTATCCGCGACAGAGATGTGGGCCAGGCAATTGCCGACATGGTGAAGCGCGGACAGCCATACATTGGCGCCTTCATGTTCAAGGACGACGCAGCCGACAAGGATGTCATTGACGACCCCAACGAGGTCTACGACGTCGGTACCTTCTGCCAGGTCACCAGCGCATTCCCCGTGGGCGCCGACGACAACTTCGCCATGACTTGCGTCCTCTACCCCCACCGCCGCATAAAGATGACGGGTCTCAAGCCGCCCACGCCAGCCAAAGATGAGCCTTCGGTGGCTGAGAGCACCCTCAATGACGCCGCCGAAACGCCCGAGTCTGACACCGGCGCCACCCAATCCAAGGGCGACGTCGTTGCCAGCTTCGAGGAGTCTGCCGAAGAGCCCAAAACGACGCACGGCGCCCTTGTCTCTACCATTCTCAAGGGCCGCAAGGTCAGCATCGCCGACGTAGACAACATGGTTGAGGAGCCCTTTGACCTCAAGACGAACAAGACAATCCAGGTGCTGGTCAACGAGATTGTCAACACATTCAAGAGCGTGGCCCTCTTGAACCCGCTGTTCCGCGACCATGTCTCGACCTTCTCGGTACACACCACAATGAATGTGGGCGAAGATCCCGTTAAGCTCGCAGACTTCGCTGCTGCCGTGGCCCAGGCCGAGTCGCACGAGCTGCAAGACGCGCTCGAGGAAATGGATATCGAGAAGCGTCTGAGCAAAGCCTTGGAGGTCCTGAAGAAGGAGCTCATTAGTGCAGAACTGCAGAAAAAGGTTGCAGACGACGTCAACGCCAGAGTCACCAAGAAACACCGCGAATACATGTTGATGGAGCAGATGAAAGGCATCAAGCGCGAGCTTGGCATCGAATCCGACGGCAAAGACAAGCTGATTGAGAAGTTCAACGAAAAGGCCAACAAGCTGGCTATGCCCGAGGCAGTGCGCAAGGTCTTTGAAGAGGAAATGAGCAAGTTGCAAGGCCTCGAGCCCAACGGATCAGAGTTCAACGTCACCCGCAACTACCTCGACTGGCTCACACAGCTGCCATGGGGCCAACGCAGCGCCGAGAACTTTGGTATCCAACACGCACGCGAGGTACTGGATGAGGATCACCATGGGCTGAAAGACGTCAAGGACCGCATCTTGGAATTCATTGCTGTCGGTAAATTACGCGGCACGGTCGAAGGCAAGATTCTCTGTTTGGTCGGGCCACCTGGTGTGGGCAAAACATCCATTGGAAAATCAATTGCTCGCGCCTTGAACCGCCAGTACTACCGCTTTAGTGTCGGTGGTATGTACGATGTAGCTGAGATCAAGGGTCACCGCAGGACATATGTCGGTGCGCTACCCGGACGTATCATCCAGGCTCTCAAGAAGTGCCAGACAGAGAACCCACTAGTCTTGATTGACGAAGTCGACAAGATTGGCCGAAACAGCAATCACGGCGACCCGGCATCCGCGCTTCTTGAGCTGCTCGACCCAGAGCAGAACAACAGTTTCTTAGATCACTACCTGGATGTGCCCGTCGATCTTTCCAAGGTCCTGTTCGTATGCACAGCCAACATGGATGAGACTATTCCACAGCCTCTGCTCGACCGTATGGAGGTAATCCGACTGTCTGGCTATGTTTCGGACGAGAAGATTGCCATTGCCGAGAAATACTTGTCGCCTGCAGCCAAGGAAATGAGTGGTTTGAAGGACGCCGACGTTGTGCTCGAAAAGGACGCCATCGTCGAGCTCATCAACAAGTACTGCCGTGAGTCTGGTGTGCGAAACCTCAAGAAGCACATTGAAAAGGTGTACCGGAAGTCTGCCCTCAAGATCGTCACCGACGTTGGCGAAGATGCACTGCCAGAAGCCGCAGCTCTGACCGATGAGGGCAAGGCTGCACAGCAAGAGTCCAAGAAGGACGCGAGCGACCCCAAGGAGACGCCAGAAAATATGGAGCAGCAGACTACTGAGAAGCCCCGCGTGGCTCTCAAGGTACCGGATTCAGTTCATGTATCAATCAACAAGGATAACCTCAAAGACTACGTCGGCCCGGCCATCTTCACCTCTGACCGTCTCTACGACTTCACACCACCCGGTGTAGCCATGGGCCTCGCATGGACCTCCATGGGCGGCTCGGCGCTGTATATTGAATCCATCCTACAGAACGCACTATCCGCTTCATCATCTCCCGGCTTGGAGCGCAGTGGTTCCCTTCGAGATGTCATGAAGGAGTCGACCGGTGTTGCCTACTCGTATGCCAAGAGCACATTAGCCCGCGAATTCCCCAAGAACAGGTTCTTTGAACATGCAAGGATACATCTGCACTGCCCCGAGGGCGGCACTCCCAAGGACGGACCAAGCGCTGGTATCACAATGGCCACTAGTTTGCTCAGCCTGGCGCTCAACAAGAAAATCAGGGACGATGTCGCCATGACTGGTGAGCTGACGCTTACCGGAAAGGTACTAAGGATCGGCGGGCTACGGGAGAAGACGGTTGCCGCACGGAGAGCAGGCGCAAAAACAGTCATTTTTCCACACGACAATATGAGTGATTGGCTCGAATTGCCAGAGGTATGTGCCTCACCCCCCTGTTTCAAAAAATCCCATTTGCTAACGCATGACAGAACATCAAAGAAGGCATCGAAGGCCGCCCCGTGTCATGGTACCATGAAGTCTTTGATATTGTTTTCCCCGACCTCGACAAGGAAGCCGCAAACAAGATGTGGGAAAAGGAGCTCAAGCCCAAGAAGGGAGACCGCAAGAAGCGCGAGCAAAAGAAGAAGGAAGAGGAAGAAGAGGAGTCTGGTGAGGATGACGATTAAGCCGCATTCGCTAGACTTTGAATGTAAGATATGTACAATGGGCAGAGGGCAAAGGGTAAAGAAGTGCAGCAACGCAGCGCATTCCAGGCGTTCTTGTTTCCGCAAACTGTTTTTGGCATGGCATTTGGCTACGCAACCGAGCCATTTATACGATCAACTGCATTTTGGTAATGAATGATATGCGAAATTCTCTTCTCCACTATCATATGAATTGGCTGCATGGGGGCATTGTGTATTAATGGAATGAACGTTATGCCCGTTGTTGGTGGTACCCATCTGCCGATGAGGAATACGAGGCATTGCGTATTTGCTTTCGGCTATCGGCGTGTTCCATCTTATTCAACATGCTTGTCCGCGTAAGCATAGGCTGTATTGTCATACTGTACGAGTAAACCTTTGGACTACTACGTATCTTGGGGCTACATGAGCGACGTGTGTTCCATCTCTGCAACAGTGTAAGCGCTGTAAGGGTATGAGTACTGTCTGGACAGGTACTATTTGTCAGACTTATATCTTGTCACCTCCAGCGAGGCGTGACGGTGTTTATTTTTGTTTGCAGATCCTGTACCACTTTCAGAAACCGAAATGGATGTTACATCGTCATGTCACTATAAGGCTAGATAGGCATGTCTAATTAGTGCGTACATACGAGAAAACACGTAAGCGCCTAACGGAAAGTAGACACACCATGATCAGTGCACCCTATGCTTTTCTCGAAATCATTGCCATACGTGTCCTACTTTCTGTAATAGGCTTATTTTTAGTATCTATATGTTCTCAGGAGGCTGGCTTCAAGGGTTAGTTGCGATTTTTTTTCTACGTATATAAACTAGTCATGCATCTGTGTATGCTTGGACACTCATACACTCACACATACATTTAATCCAGCACACTAATAAATTTTTTGCATACATCCTACCCGGTGTTACAATGAAGTTGATTACTTTTGCTAGTCTTGCCTTCGCAGCTGTAGCCCTTGGCACCACTGTAACAGATACATCTTCAGGCGTAAGTTTTACCTGTGCATCTACATTACATGCATGTATTTGAAGGCTTTGCTGACGATAAGATTAGACCTGCAATGCTTTGAAGAACACATGCATCATTAATAAAGACGTTACTGCGGCATGCGTAAGTATTTCTATTTACACAACCATGGATGCATTTGTTCATATGTGGCTGAACTTTCATAGACCTCTGGCAAGTGCACAAATACTGGAAATGGTTGTTCAATCATTACTGTGTCGGAACCCGTGTCTCCGGAGGAAGAGAAGGTGCTCAGTGTCACTGTTTCGTGCAGTTAAATTTTGAGCTGTAGGACTTTTTGAGGATAACTAAGGTGTGTGCAAGTGTACGGTGAATAGGAAGATGGCTGGTGAGCCTCTCTAGCGATTCGAAGATTGGGCTACTCTAGAGAGCTCCGTTGTGCATCTATAGGCGCAGGGCCAGACAAGATATAGAATTAGAATCAATCAATATGGTCAACCTAACAGAATGCATCGTGTAGTTGAGTTGTCAAAACCAGCATTTCGCCCATTCCCTTGTTCAACCGTGTATGTATTTGCGATGGCATGCATAACATTCAAAAGCATTAGTTTTTCAAACGGTCATTGTAGACAAGATGACTGCCTCTTCGTCTCACGATGCTCACGAGATGAAACATGCAAATGTGGTTTGCACTGCAGAGAATAAAAGTATCGTTAGCGCTTAGGGAACTAGGTTAAGACGCCATACTAGTATGTACATGTCTAAAGTGGATATGGATATTTCTTTTCTAGGTTAGCAGCCCACGATCGAGACTTGTGCATTGTTGATCATCCTGTCGATCGGTGGATCAACGCGGGTACATGGGATAATGTCCTGTTACTAGATTTTAGGGAGTTAACGAGTTGGTGTAATCGAAGAGGATTATCGTCTCCTCTTATGTTGTTGTGACGGGTACTAGTTAGTATGCCCAGGTTTCTGCAGCGACAGACCCTGTTGACTCGATATGTCTAGATTCAACTATAATATCATGCCTGACATTGATTCCCTATTTTAGATGCATGGGTAAGCACTCGAGTGTGTCGAATTACATCTATAGTGGCTACAGGTATTGCTGTCTAGTAATACGTCACCTTTGTTCTAGTCGTTCAAAGTAGCTTCTGCGGGAGCTGACGGCCAGAGCGTATGCTTGCTTCAAGCGTCTTGCATGGTTGTATTGGCTTGTGCCGTATTTCCGGCTTTTCTGCTTACCAGGCACACCGCTGTCTTGGCTTGCTGAGACATTTTGCTTGTGCTGTCAGCCTGGGTAGCCGATGTATTTTCCGTGCGCCTATTTGAACTACTCTCACTCTATAGTCGCTATGATGTTGTATTCTCCCAATGAGCGCAAGGCAGCTCAAGGAATTTCTTGTGGTTCAAATTTACCCAGTTCTGTGTTGTGTCGCGATCCTCTTAGCATGCGATGTAGGTGTCGGTCGTCGGAGTTATCTGTAGAGATTGTACGTACGCAGCTAGCCTGTTTCTCCTTTTCCAGAACATGTAGGTCCGAGTCCGAAAGAAGCTGATTGGGCGGTGACGTGATACGATTACAGCCTACGTACTATGAGAGAAATCAGGATCGTGCCACCGTCAAGCAATTTTTTAATTTTAACCGGCCCTCCTTGCCTATTCTGTTGGATGCAGAGTACGGAGTGTACGTGGGAATGTTAGATTCCTCTATATCTTTGTAGTAGTTGTTCAACAAACTTCTCAGCCTTGTCTTTGCTGTGTTCACTCGCTTGAGTACGTATGTGTTCCAGGGGTAAGTCACCAGGTCGAAGAATGTTTTGCAACGGCATATTGCGGCCTTGTATCTGGACTAGAGGCGGGCCTCGATTTCGCTAGCTTATTAATTGGTCGAGATGGCCGTGCGGGACGCCAAATCGGGGGCTCACGGTCAGTTTTTCGGCTTTGCAAGTTCTTAGTCTCAACACTGACCTCTCTGGCTTTCTAGGGAAATAAATTTAGCCGCTTTCCTCTCTATACAGCGTAGAGTAGATGTACAAATGTAAAGTAGGGTCTCGGTGAGGTTCAACGGCTGCTTAGAGGCACGTTCGCAGTAATTGAATAAGCGCATTTAAGCTATCATGATGAAAAAGCCAGTAGGTTGCTTCAATGCATACAAAGCTTGCGTAATAGGAGTAAATTAAAAGATCTCAATGTAGGTAGGTAGAGCCAGCACCGACAAAGTGTCAGCACTACTATGTTAGTTTTGGCACTAAAAATGCGCTTTTGAAGGATATGCCTGCCAAACTTGTTGTGAAGTCGAGTGATATTACGCGCGGCAGCGCTATGGTCTCTTTGTTGTGTGAATATATATTTGGATAAGGGCCAAGGGAAAGGATCTACAATAGCTCAGCACGAAATCTGTTTACTCACCGTCGTACCTCACAAGAAGCTAATTCCTGAGCTACATTAGCCAAACTATACATGATGAAGCTATCTGTCTGCGTCGCTGTCCTGTCCTTTGCCTGTGGCTCCGTTGCACAGTGGTGGGTACGTACATTGTCTCCTGCGTTTCTCCAGCTTTCTCGTTCTCCGTGGATGCTAGTTTACATGACACCTCTCCACGACATATACCCACTACCGTTTCCTATTCTAACAAACACTTGCAGAACTGTGTCCCAGGCGTGGGAGGAACCTTTGGACTATGCAAATTCAACGGTCAAGACGCAGGTGCACAACCCTGCAGTTCTGTAAGCAACATGCTATGCTTTTTCAAAAAAAAAAACGATGTCAATGAACACAGTCACTGATTATAATATGCAGGATCGCCGATGCCTTGTTGCGGGTAATGGATGTACTCCAAACTTCCAAGCCTTGGTAGCAGGTTGCAGTTAGATTGGGTGAGCTTTATAGAGTACGGGGTATAAATTCATTGGCGTGGATATATGAGAAGTGTTGTGAACAATTGAAGCTGCACGTGAAACGCATATTTGAGTTGTGTGAGTGGGTTTAGAGAAGTAAGCATATTCCACTGAGGACCTAGTAACAGCATGTAATCAATGTTGTACATGATGTATCTGCTTTATCAGTGATGTTAACATGGCAACGTAGTAGGTTTATAATGTAGTGAGATGTGTAATGACAGACAACAGCAAGGTACTTTAGCCATTGAGTTTGAAGGATACAAGCGCATGATCAAAGTATTACGAGCCTGCACACGATTATTTCGCTGGACTAGAGTCGCGGAGAGGGGAATGCGAATGGCTTTAGTGGTTTCCCATACCCCCCCACTTGCATGTGTTAGTAGTACAAGTGATGACGACGACCAGGGTGCTTGGTAGATGACATCACGTGGCACCCACGCACCAGCCCGAGCACGAGTACCGGCCTCACCCGCTCCGTGCCGCAGCGCAACGCCCCGCACCGTCAGGGTGGCCGTGTGCCGTGCATACATGCACACGTACATAGATGGGTAGATAGGATACTTAGTAGGCTACATGGCAGTCCATGTGGCGAGGCTAAAAGCAGGAGACGACAGCGGGTGGAGACGGGGATGTGGAGTATGGGATACGTAGGTCGAGTAGTGGGGTGCGTGGGATGTAGTCGTGTATACCATCTAGATAAGTGTGCATGTGTGTGTGTACGTGTGTATGCATGTGTGATGGATGGGCTGGATGGATATATGCAAAGGTCGCCAAAGTGCATGCAGCAGCGCACGTCGGCACAGATAGTTGGATGCTTAGATCAGGTCAGGTCGAGGGAAACAAGACCCTGAAGCGGCAGGACGGCTCGACTTGCATACATGGTTTCGCCCCGTCTGGCAAAGAGACATGCAGGGTAGCATTGTCGGCGGATATACCGGGTAAGTAACGAGTATGTACAGCAAGTACGGTATTGATGGATATGCGTGCACACTGGATATATTTTTGGGGGGCCTGGGGGAAAAGGTACTCAGCGCGCTAGCCGCCTGGCGCGTCATGTCGCTGTTGTTTCACAATTGTCCTGTACATATACTGTGCATGCGCCCTGTTGCCTAATTGGACAGGGAAATTCCCGTCTTCTTGGATGGTGGAGAAAGCAAAAAAATATGTCGAGGCGATTTGTGTAGCTGCAAGCCTCGTCGAAACACCAGAACAACAACGGCGATGCATCACGATATGGCAACATGCCGCCCTTTGGCAGCGTGTCCCGTGTGGGTGCATTTGCCGTGGTTAGTCTTGCGCTGTCATCATAGTGCAGACGGTCGCACAGCAGCAGGGTGCGCAGCGTGGGCATGAACCACATTGACGTGTCAGGACGACGTGCATGTGGGTGGGCGGCAGGTAAGCACATAGGTTGGATGGGTTGTACTGTATGTAAGGGAGAGAGAAGGGACAACGCATACTGCGAACTAGAGGGAGCGAATCAAACCATCATGTGACTATCTGGACCTGTTGTTCGAGGGCCGAATCAGGACCTGATGATGATGACGATGATGGTGTTGTAGTTGTTGTTCCTGTTGCTGCGAAGGGGCTAGGCAGAGGCGGGTGAGGTGGGCAAAGTGGACATGGATGATGCTTCACTTTTTTTGTTGGGGCGCGGGTGATGCGGTTGAGAGACGAGGTGTATGTGGGGATGGGGACATGTACATAATACTCATGTCTGCGCGGGAGCACCAAGGCGGAGGGGAGGCGGCGGATGCAGGCCAAGTAAGGAGTGCCCTGGACGCGCTTTGTGAGGCGCAGCTGGTCAGTACAGTAGCCGGCGCGGAAGGGCAAAAAAAAAGTCAATTGCACAAAGCCATGGATCGAGGAGCGCAACCTCTCTAAAATTACCGTTGAGAAGGTCGGCTCAGCATGGCCATGGTGCTAGTCGGCAAGCAGCAGCAGAGTCAGGCACGCCGGCGAGCTGCGAGCTATTTCTACCTTGCAGACTCGAGGCCCGTCCAGACGGGTGCGAGTGCGGGCTGCTGTGAGTGGAGCGAGGCCTTTGCGGTTGCATGCCGAGTTTGCAGAGGGCGCCTCGTCTAGGCATGGGCTAATGTAGACATGTATGCAGGCCCAAAAGAGGGGTTTTGCTCGTATGGTGGTGTGAAGAATTTATTAACGAGCGGGGGGTTGGCGGCAGAGGGGCACCGAGGTCAGCCCTCGCGCAGCCGCGACGACGAAGAGGGAGGAGAAGGAGGAGAAGGAGAAGAAGAAGAAGAAGAAGAAGAAGACGGCGACGGCGACGGCGACGGATGGCGTTGTCGCCAGGGCACGAGGGCCGGGCTGCAGCGTTGGTCGGGGATATGTATCGAGTGTACACAGGTGTATGTACGTATGTAAAAGTGTGCGTGCCAGAGCCAACATATGTAGCACCTTCACCGCAGGTTGAAGGAACAGCACAGCAAGAGGCCAATCAGTACTAAATCGGCGGTACCAGGCGGCTTTTCTCTGGCTTGCAGGCGCTTGATTTGACCACAATGTACCCGAATTCGGACTTTTGCTGCCTGCTGCGCATCCTGCAGGCTGGCCAAAAAAAGGCCCTCTTTTTTTTCATGGCCCAATGGCCAGGATAGGCGCTTGACCGCCAGCTGTCGAGTGCCAGCACCCCCAGAACGCTGCCATGCTGGAGCGGCGCGCTGGGCCTGCACTGTCTCGCTCGCGCTCGCGCTCTCTCTCTCTCACTCTCTCACTCTCTTTCTCTCTGCACCTCCTCCTTGTCCTTGTCCGTGTCCTCTCTTCTTCTCTCTCTTTTTTTCTCCTCTCTTCGCCCCCGCCCCGCCCCCCGTTCGCCCTCTCTTTGTGGCCTCTCCCCTGCTGCCCCTCGCCGCCCGCGCTGGTCAGACGCTGACAAACTTTGGTACCGGCACGGCAGGCTTGTGCTTGAGTGGACTGCCGATAGCTCGAGGATTGGACTGGACTTGATTTGGTGACTCGAGCGGGAAACGCTAAACGAAGGTGGTGTCGCTCAGCCGGCTCGACGGGGCCAAGGTCGCGCCCTTCTGTCTGCACCCATTGGCTCACGCCGCCCCAGCCTTCCCGGCGCGCCTTCACACACACTCACACTCACACTCACACACACACACACACACACACACACTCACACACTCACATCAGACTCATCCGCGCACGTCGCATCATCTCTCGCTGCCCATCTGCCCTCCCGTCCCTTGCCACCCCAACTCCAGCCGAGCCCGTCCAGCCTGCCATCCCCTCCAGCATTCGCCCAGATTCCTCTCGCCCTTTGCCGTCGACCTGTTGCCTGCCTGTTTTTTTAATCACGGTTAGGGCGCCACCCGACTCCCGGGCATGTTGCTTGGGCGTCAATAGCACTCCGACCGCTATTTTTTGTCCGTTGCACCTCGCGCCCGCCCAGATTCAGCCTGCACACATTAGCACCCGGGCCAACAGCAAAAGTAAAAAAAAAAATTGTTAGCCGTGCAAGAGGGGCAGATGCAGCATCGCGACTCGGAGGCACAGAGCATCAACGAGGCCGATGGACACAGGAAGCCACAGTGACACACGACCGCGACACAGCATGCAGTCGGCGCCAAACCCATAGCACCACTCCAATCCACCCGAACCCGACCAACAAACCCCCCCGCGACACAGCGAGAAGGCCCGACACGCCTACCCGAGCTGCTCTGACCTGCGCACCGCCAACGCGACCAGCGGAGCACCACACGCCCGGGAGCGAGCCGAGACCCCAAGACACGGCGCCGCACAGCGTGGGACGTGTGCGACGGCCACTGTCAAGACACCATGGCACCCCCGTCGCCAGACAATGCCGACTCGAGCAGGAGCCGCAGCAGGCAGAGGGCGCGCGCAGAAGTCAGCGAGCACAGGAGCATGTGGGACCGCCTCAGTTTCCAGAAGATTGGCTCCTGGCTGAAGAAGGACGAGCAGGAACCCCCCTCGGCCCCAGCCAAGCCTGCGAAGCCCGCCGAACAGAAGAACACCAAGGAGCCCGCGCGACCGCATTCGAGCGGCGGCCTGCTAGGCCGCAAAGGCAGCAAAAAAGTCATCCCGGGCCTGCCTAGGCCCTTGACCTTCAAGCGAATGCAGAGTGAAAAGAGAGATAAACTGCTCGAGGTGCCCGAGGCCGAGCAACCCCGGAGAGCGGCTTCGGTCGACCGCCAGAGCTGTGCGCCCTCGAAACGAAACGCCTCGCCGCCGCCCATGTCTGCCCCCTCCGCCTCTGCCCCCGACGTCCTGAGCCTGTGCGAGAGCAACGCCAAGAAAGAGCCGCCTCCGGTCATGGAGGAGCGTACCATAGGCGGAGGCCCCGACTCCAATTTACCCCCCGGCGCGCGCCAGGTCGACTACGGCATCGAAGAACCCCAAGATTATCTGTCGGCACACGCTTCGGTTGGCGAACTGCTGCCTCCACCTCCACCTCCACCTCCACCTCCGCCCCAGCCGTCCCAATCCCCACCGCCCCCACCCATCGAGGTGGCCGATGCATTTTCCGAGCACGGCTCGCACCGCACAGCTTCCGTCATTGATGATGTCCGCCTGCAGGAAGAGCTCGAGGCAAAATGGATCTTGAATCTCAGCATGCACTTCCGCGACATGTCGGACCGCGAAAAGTTCTTTGTCACTTATGCCGAAGAGCCAAACAGGTGGAGACGCGTCACCGTGTCGTGCGATTACCGAAACATGGAGCCGGACTCGCTTGAAGCTGATCTCAAGACCCTGCACTACCAGCGCGACAAGAGCTTGCGCATCTATGAAGCCATTCGTGATTCTCTGCCAGCCATACAGTTTTACGACACCGTGACCAACCTCAAGCTCGAGACCACAGATGGCCGTCTTCACGTTCACGTCACCGAGGATGTCAATGAGATTATTCCCTATCCCGCTACCTCGGCCATTGAGCATCTGGATTGCAAGCGCTTCCGAGAAGACGCCATTACTTTTGATTCACACATTTCTGGCTTTGTGTACAAGGTTTCTGTGAGCAATCGCATCCTCATCAAGAAGGAAATCCCAGGCCCAGATGCAGTCGAGGAGTTTCTCTACGAAATTAATGCGCTTATCAGCGTTCAACAGGCCAAGTCTGTCATCAGATTCGAAGGCGTTATTGTCGACGAGAGGAATGAGCTGATCAAAGGACTATTGATAAGTTATGCCGAGCAAGGTGCGCTAGTAGACATGATTTATGACTTCAAGTCAACAGGACACTTGTACTGGGAGCGCCGGGAGCGATGGGCGCTACAAGTCATCCAAGGCTTGTCCGAGATTCACGAGGCTGGCTTCGTCCAAGGAGACTTTACCCTGTCCAACATTGTCATTGACAATGACGACAATGCCAAGATTATCGACATCAACCGCCGCGGCTGCCCGGTTGGATGGGAGCCACCCGAGCTGGCCAGGCTTATCGAAAGCGGCCAGCGTATCTCGATATACATTGGCGTCAAGTCAGACCTGTTTCAGCTTGGCATGGTACTGTGGGCGTTGGCAGAGCAGCAAGACGAGCCTGAGCGCCAACCGCGACCCTTGGTCCGCACCCTTGACCGGCGCGACACGGAAATCCCACCATACTTTCGCGACATTATCCGAGCCTGCTTGAGTGATTTGCCACAGGCCAGACCATCAGCCGCAACGCTACTCAAATGGTTCCCTGAAGATGTACTAGCCGATGACGTTCAAGCCGCGACTACGGTAAGAGACAGCATCTGTACACATAGGAGTGACAAGGAATACATCGATCCTAGAACAGCCGTCGACCTAGAGGACATTACCAAACACCGTCGCGATTCGAGACAGCAGCTGTCGTTTGAAGAGATTGACGCCCCACGCACAGAGTACCCCGAATCCTCCGGCTCGTATGTTATACCCAATGAGCGTTCTGAGCGCGGTCGCTCTCCGCGTCCTCTTAGCCCTAGTGACCGGCAAACACGAGATGACTGCTCACGCTCGCCTTACCCCGGCCATCGATCTGTCATGTCGCTTGATGACTCAGAACTCGAAAATGAACTTGCAAGCCTACCAGCTAGCCGGGAGACTAGGTGGGAGCAGGTCTATGTAGACGGGGATACCAAGCTAGTCCAAAGGGCGTGCGGTGACATTGACGTGCATGACTATGCACCGCCGGAACCAAAGGATATCTGCATCACAAGTCCGCCAGGTGAGATGGAAGATTCATTTCTAGGCAGCAAACCCTCGGAAGACACACCTCTGGGCTTGTCGGTCGGTAGTGGACTGCAGCCTATTGAGTCACAGTCCATGAAGAACAGCCTGCAAGAGCCAACTGAAGAGGATCAGCTCCGTAGTGTCGGGGCCAAGGCTTCCTTCAGCGACCGCGTACACCACCTCGCACAGTCACGGCCACAGTCATTGCTAACCCCTCCTGAACCAGCCGAAACTCCGGATTTCTACTACGACAGCCACAACCCCCCGAAGCCCGACTCGGTTCTGCTAGCCAATCTCGAGTACGATGTTGCCATGGACTCGTCAGCACCCAGCACGGAGCCTCCATCGCGCATCAGCACTGGCTTTTCTGTATTTGATCGGCCAGAACCTGCGGCGAGGAGAGTGGCGCCGGGCTTCTCGATGGCGCAAGGGCACCGTATGCCTTTGCACCAAGATTCAGGCTTTGGGGAGCCAGAACGGGTGTCGTTTGAGAGTGATCGGATGCGACAAAGCATTGAGAGTATCAAGGACCTGTCATACTCGTCCAGTGATGAGGCACGAATCGACGAGAGACTATGGGATGAGAAAGCTGGCATTTTGTTCAGTGGAGGTGTTCGTGGCGCTGGAATGGAAATCAAGCCAGAGCCCATACCGATATTCTCGATCCCACAGTCATCCCATAAAAAGGAGAAACTCGCCGTCACTTCAATGCCCCCGCCATCAATGACGAGCGTTGGACCGAAAAACATAGTCCGCGTAGACGAAGTTCAGGACAAGGGCTTGGGAGAAAAGGCGTCGGATAATACAATCCGACCACCTAGCATCGTTCTACCAGATTCGCGCCAACCCGTCTCGAAGCCAGTCGATTCAAAGGACGTCGTATCCAACAATGTCCCGCACAAAGATGGAGACGTAAACGCATCCAAGACTTTTACAGCAAAGGATTCACCAAAGACCCGCATTCGGGCGAAAAAGCCACCGCGAGACCCCCTCTACGATGAATACCTATCGCCAGCCGAGATCACAGACGATGACGACGATGGCGGCAGAAAAGCATCCAATGACCTTTCAGATTACCTCTCGCACACTATTTCCTTTGACCTGGACTCTATTGATCTTGATATGCGCGAACATGAGAAGAAGAGGGTGGGTCCGCAAGGATCAAAAGTTTGAAAATTGTCTTTTTACATTCTCTCTTCTTCTTTCCTCCTTCTCTAGGGTCTTGTTTTTTATGTCTTCTTTGTTTCCCTTTCAAAAGACTGAAATGATTACCATCACGTTATATCCGCTTTTAAGAATATCTTCATTCACTTTTTGTTTGTTGCTGTCTTCTGATTGATCTCAAAACGATCGCTTGCATGTTACAAGGACAGTAGTCTCACGACGCAATTTTCTTTCTCTTGCTACTGTTGTTTCTTCTTCTTCTTCTTCTTTTTCGTCTTTCACAAGTTGCAAAGCACCTGATTTAATAAACACAACCTTTCTCGTTCTCTACTTCCCCTTCTTCATTACTTTCTTCACTTCTTTTTCTTCACTAGGGTTTGGTTTCTTGCAGCGTTTGCACCTTGATGGCTTTTTGGGTTTTCTCTTTCTAACGACCTGTACGATCGCACTTGCTACGTTTTTCTCTCCCACTCCTCCCATGTTACGGCGTTGGTTTTGGTTTTTGTGCTTAGCCAAGGTTATACCAGACACATCACTCAGCATTCTCTTTTGGTGAAATGGACATCTCTTCTTCAACATTGTGCTCTTGTGTCGTGATGGTATTGTGGTACATTATAAGTGTGTGCATGTGAATAACGTTGAAAATTTCAATTGTGAGAGTTCATGTATAGATACAGAGAGTGGTAAGTGACATACTCTGCACTATACAAGCACATAGGCTACCGTACTGACTTTTTTTTCCAGTATATCCACCCTACATGCCATAGACTTCACAGCATACATTCAGCAACAAGCACTACAACGACCAAAAAACAGAGAAGAACCGAGGGACACATGGATGACGACGATGGTGATGATGACGATGGTGAGATAATAAAATTCTAGTTCGATTCAAAATACACGAAGTGACCGTAGGAGTGCAACCATGAATCAACAGGTCACCCACCATCACTCGCGGGCAAGAGAGCTAGCTACTCTGCAGCTAGCTCAAAGAAAAAGTCTACTTCACACCATACAATCGTCATGGCGACCAATCAGGCATCCCAGATGCGCTGGACTCGCTAATTTGCCCTCTCTTCCCATCGCAGAAAGGAAGGAGGTGGTGGTGGTGGCGGTGGCGAGGAGTGGTGCGTTTAAAAGTATGCGCGGCGGGCGCGACGCATGCGACGAGAGGTGAGGAAGCCAGCTGGGTACTCTACTTTTGCGTCTCCGGCCCCGTCCTTGGCCTCTTGGGCTTCGACGGGGGCTTCGGCTGGGCCTGGGCCTGGGCCTGGGGCGCCCTTGTCTTCAGCGGCCGGCCCACCCACGGCCTTTTCAGCGTCGGCTGCCTTCTTTTCCTCGGCAGCAGCCTCTTTCTCTGCTTCCTTGGCTGCCTTTGCCTCCTCTTTGGCTGCCTTCCTCTCTGCTTCCTTGGCCGCCTTTTCTGCCTCCTTGGCCGCCTTCTCCTCTTCCTTGGCCGCCTTGTCAGCTTCCGCCTTGGCCTTCTTATCCGCCGCTTTCTGCTTCTTTTCTTCTTCTGCGGCATCAGTGGCTGCGGACATCTCAGCGGTGGCAGTATCAGTAGCCGTCTCGGTGGCAGTGTAGCCTGTATCGGTTGCAGTCTCGGTGGCGGTGTAGCCAGTGTCAGTTGCAGTCTCGGTGGCGGTGTATCCGGTATTAGTAGCGGTATCGGTGGGCATAGCACCAGTATCAGTGGCGGTATCAGTAGCGACATCAGTGGCAGCAGCAGTGGCCGTCTCGGCGGGAGCAGTCAGGTTGGCGGCATCCGTGGCGGCAGGCATAGCAGTCACATTAGCAGCACCAGTCTCCTGAACAGCTTGTTCCATAATGATAGAGAAGCTCTCGGTGACCACGGGTGCCTCGGCGCTGACATTGCTGGCAGCCGGCGGCATCTCAGCAGGGGGCATCTCTGGGGGAGTAAGGGCGGCGGGCTCATGAGGCATCTTCGCTGGCGGTGGAGGAGGCATCTCATGAGCAGCAGCAGGAGGTGGAGGAGGCATCGCGTGAGCAGCCGCTGCAGGTGGAGGGGGCATTGGAGGTTCAGTAGGCATTGCGGCAGGCATCTCATGAGGCATGACCGCTGGTGGAGGAGGAGGAGGAGCGGCAGCAGCAGCAGCATGGTCTGTCACAGCCGGAGGAGCTTCAGTCGCCATGGCCATGGAAATGCTAGCCAGTTCCTGGGCGACGTGCATAGCCTCCATGGCATCTGCCGAAGCCTTGTGAGCAGCGGCCTTTGCCTGTTCAGACGCAACGTGCATGGCCTCCATGGCGGCGGCGGCCTCTTGGTGAGCTTTTTCCTTTGCGGCGGCATCTGCTTGGTGCTGCTTTTCCGCCTCTTGTGCCTTTGCGATGTGTTCAGCCTCCATGGCGGCGGCGGCATCTTGATGAGCCTTATCCTTTGCTTGAGCCTCAGCAACATGCATAGCCTCCATCTTGGCCGCAGCCTCTTGATGAGCCTTGTCTTTTGCTTGGGCTTCGGCCACGTGCATGGCCTCCATCTTCGCTGCAGCCTCCTGGGCTGCCTTGTCTTTGGCCTCCGCCGCAGCTACATGCATTGCTTCCTTGGCATCGGCAGCAGCCTTGCCAGGATCCTCGGCCGGTGGTGCTGCTTCAGCAGGTGGTGGTGGTGTTCGTTCCACAAAACGCATAGGTATATCTCCATTCTTTGCAAGGGGGCCAGCAGCCACGGCTGCCGCCGAAAGGAGAGTGAGAAGCGGGTATATGGTCTTCATTATGAATTGTTGCAAAGGTTGGTATCCTTGGAAAAGACTGAAAGGGTTTCTCGTGTCGTAGCTATTACAATGGTCAAAGGAGAGAATGAAGAGCACAGCTCAACAAGGATTAAAAAAGGACTTAGTGCTCGGCACTGCTGAAAAGAAGGTAGGGGTCTAAAGAAGAACCTTGGTAGACGAGATGCCAAAACCAGTGAGGTGCTGGGCCGCTTGCACTATATGTATTTCGTCCCGCTGCTTGGCGCAAGATAGAATTAGAACAGTTTGATAAGAGCAAACACGTCACGTGGTTAGATGCAAACTTGCACAGTGTTTGATATGGGGCTCCTGGCCTGATTCTCTGCATGGCGATGATGCCCTGAGGCGTCTAGGCGACCAGAGTAGGTGACGACAAGGCGATCTCCCCACTCTTCTCCAACGGCTGCCATATAGCCGTCCGAGTGCTTGGCAGGGCCGGAGCCAAGCCAAGTCCATGTGTACGATGAGGCGCGTGGAAAACCGGGCCAATCAGCGACGCGGGATTTTCACCATAGGCACAAGCGCAGCGGTTTGCCAGTGGAGGTCTTGGCCTAACATAGCATGTCGGAGCCTGCGTAGCAAGTAAGACTGCAGGAATATTACAGTGTTGAGCCTCGCTTGGTGGATGCTGCCAGGCCTATGCGCGTTAGGGATGTGAAGCGAGTACTGTTTCAACAACCCCGAACAAGCAACGACCGCATCTTTTTTGTGAGCCTCGAACCCCAGGCCCAAGCCTCAGCCTCAGATGAGGCTGGTGTGCTGTCAAAGAGTGTAACTTGTGGAGATGCCCAGGGGTCTCTCTGGTCCACGCTCGTGTTTGCACAAAAAACCGGTTATAGTAGTCTGCTTGGTTTCAGCCCGCGCCACACCGCCGGTTGCGATTCCATCCGAAGGCAACCAGTGGGACATGAACGAATGAGATTTCATTCTTCTTAACTGTTGAGCTGTCTCGCCTGAGGGGCTGGTGCCACCAAGGATGCCGAGTCCATCTTAGACTTGTCATGATGCCCTATGACGCGGAAATGCCTGACTGTGGCTATTGTTGTCGCAAAGCAAAGAAAGAACATTCGACAAGTATGTCATCCCCCGCGTGGAACAGAATGGCACTCCCGTGTGACGGCTGTCTAAAGCTTCGCGCCAGAGTCATCTGTGGAAGTCTATGTATAGATGTCAGCGGTACAAGTAGCGAGAATGCACGCTCAGAACTTTCATGCGCAGAGAAGGGACCTCCAATTGCTCTTCTAAATCTCTATAACATACCTTAGACTATAGCAAAGCATAAAGTTTTATCTCTTCGGGAACAAACAAAGATTATGCGCGGATGCGTCCGGTCTCCTCCTTTGCGACTAGCCCTGCTATCTATCAAACATTGTACGATCGCTCGGGAAGAAGGATCGAGTGCAAAACAGCGCACTCCGAAAGAAGGGACCGGGCCGCATGAACAGCACCGCGCATCTAGTGTCTTTATGGATCGGGGGCCTTGAATCTCGTTATGAATTTACTTGGTCAAATCCATCTACCAATACCACAAATCGCGTACTCGAATGTTGCATGATTTGTCTGACTAGGCGTGCTGGCTGGGTTCTAGCGGACCAGCCTGGCAACGTACCCCGCTGCTGTGTGGGATGCCGACATGGGAAGTTATTGTCTTTTATCTCGCGCAGATCATAACACTGGGATGGCTCTGCAGAACCGCAAAGATCTCGCAGATGTATTTGGAAGACATGAAACCTGAGGCTGCCACGCCGGTGAGGAGTTGTTATCGGATAGATTGGAAGGACACTGGGTGTCATATGCCTTGTCGGAAATTCGCCCAGGATCGCACTTCATTCAAGAAGGTTCCGAGATTTCTGAATGGTTGCTCATTCCTGGCCAGTAGACAAAGAGATATGCACCAGTCTCTTATGAGGCGCAATTGAGGTTTCAGTGCACATGAATTGCACATTGAGTGGCTCAGATGAACTCAAAGATCTGCTGACTGTCTGCCGTTAACCGCCCATCTCTGAACAACTCGCCATCCATTAGTCCAAAGATGAAGCCGCCGCCTACCATTTCATGGTAATCGCCCGATTTTCGTACCACAGTAGGCCATGGACAGCCGGCGATGATGCAAATATCGTCTCCTGCCGATGCGTCCCAGGTGGTGAAGCCGGTGAAGCCCTGCTCAGTGATTATCAAGGCTTTTCCACAGCACCAATCTTGTGCTCCTTCCATCATCCTTGGTAAATCCGCTTCGCTGGAAGGGACTTGCCAGTCTATGTCTGCTGTGAAAGCATCAGGATATGTTTCAGATCCCCAGAAAGGCGCCATGCGTTCCTGTGGCGTCATCTTAAGGAAGGCGCTATGATCTTGGGCGCCCTTGTATGGCTCCATCAAATGGTCAATGGCGCCAGTAATTTGTGCAAATCGCAAACTGGATGAAATTTCCCTTGGCGGAGATTCAAAGACGGTATTGAGGTTGTGCTCATGAGCGAGCAAATTGAATCGCGGATGTGACATTGATCGTTCCTCGCCACACTTCAGGATACAGTGCAAAAAGCTGCGAATTTCAATTATGGATTTTGGGTTTTGGAAATCCGCAAAAGTTCGAAATTCGAAAATGTTGCAACAAAGTGCCTGGAGAAATGTAACGCCTGTGGGGTGCGAGGTGGTAATGTTGGTAGCAATGAAATCGAGTAAAATGTCCAACGCTTCGCTAGACTGTTTGAATGGGACAACTGATTTTACCACGTCTATATTGCAACCAGAGGTCCGTAGATGGTAAGAACGAACTGTGGGGTAGATATCTGGTCCCCACCCCCCATTCCGATGCACACCTGCATGGTTCGGCTCGATATACTGGATGCTATCCTGGCGGAAATCAGGAGTCCAGGATGGCAAACCTTACAGACGTGAAACGATCAGAACCCCTGGAAATTGTCGAAGGATAAGCTGCCCGCTTTCTTCGGCCAGGCTGTGGACCAGGTCGACAAATACCTGGGCAACCGGCTTATCATAATCGATGGCAACAGTCATGGCTCCTTCGTAAATGCCCAAGATGCCATAGACGTGGTCGCGGGGGTTAGTTGCAACACACTTCTGCAGTGACGAAAGTACGGAAACGAAACTTGTTACGTCGACCATTGCCAGTTGAAGTATGCCAGCAAAATGGGAAGGCAGCATGTTGCTGATAGTCTCGTAAGCCGGCTCTGTCCGCTGCATGACATGGCTGCGAACAACAAAGATCAGCAACGAGAAAACAACCATCAAATTGAAGGAAATAGCGGCTGGGCCAGAAATTAGTACGACTCTTGGTGAAAGAATGAGCTCCTGCTGAACCCATGTTCTAAACCAGTATGTTCTCAACGACACTTTACTGATGTCGTGAAACTTGAACATGTCTAGCGCAAGTTTACCATTCTGAAGGTTGTCCATAACTTGATCCCGTGCTTCGAAGTATGCGTCGTCGTAGATGTTTTTGGTCATTTTCAAGATAAAGTTGTCAATGTCTTCAACACGCTTGCTGAAGTGGCCGAAGTAACTGCGAATGAATTGGAATGCGTTTTGAGCACTGCCGTCATTATCCTCTCCCAACCATGCGTAGGTCAGCGTCGTCTCGGAATACAATTTGCCCATCATGGCCACCTGAGAATTTCTCTCGACAATATCATGCTGATTGATGCATACTGCGTCGACCCAAATGACGACCTTGGGGTTGGATTGCCGGATACGACGTAACGCCGCTTCGAGGTTGCGGGTGACTTGGACTATGATGCCATTGGCTAGCATAGGTTTGGTGACGGTCTTGTCGCCCCACTCGTATGATAAAGTGCAATAAGATGGCTTATCAGCACGGCTAACCGTGAAGAGTTGGCACGAGATGATGTTGTCAAAATCGTGGCTTGGTTCTATGCGGAGCAGGCGAAATTCGTCTCGAGTTGTGTCAAGCGGCTGGTAAAGCGAGCTGTCGGTCATCGCGAAGAATACCGGTGTAAGAAGGGTTTTCGGCCTGTTGTCGAAGGGTCGTTCCTACAAGGTGTGTTTGATTGTTCAATCTCCTGTTGCCTAAGTGTTGGGACCGTTGCTGGTCGTTTGCCGAATCAGGCAGAGTGGCCGTTTGCGCAGCCTCGACATTGATGGCCTTATATAACGTAATCCCATGTGCTAAACGACATGAGGATGCGTCACGATTCACTCTGCTGTTCACGTGCGGCTTGTTGAGTGTGCGTGGTGTGTTTGAGAAGATGTGGAAGGAGTCAGGACGTGCAAGCGGCATACCTAAACGGTCCACAAGCGCATGCGCTCTTTCCCGGCCTTGGCACAGCCCCTCGACGACGACCGATGCGTACAACAATCTGATCATGCAATTCTCATATGGTTCAACTGTTAGCATTTAGCACCCGTCACAATCACATTCAGGTGCGACACATCGCGGACCACTATTCCTCTGCACGAGCGCAGTCAAACGACATTCACGTGACTCTGCCGCACACTGTCCGACATGCCCATCCACATCTGCCCTGCGACAACTGCACTCGCGCCGCATCTCGCCAGCATACACGTCTCGGCTTTCTCTTCCAATCACCTTATGCGCAATATTTACCCCACAGCAGCGATCTGGGCAGCGTTTGAACGCGCCGTGGAAGAGAAAGTGATTGCCGATATATTGGACGAGAGGACGAGTGTGGTGGTTGCAAGGTGGGTAGAAGAGAATGAAGAAATGCAAATACAAGGCAAAAGCGGAGATATCCGAGGAAACGGGCATGAGGGAGAAATAGCGGGGTTTGCAGTGTGGTGTCATCCCTCTCCGAAGGAAGCTGAAGAGACCGGGACATATACAGCACCACGCTGGAATCTACCTCCAGGAACGGATTGGGGTATTTTAAATCCGTGGAAGAATGCTGCGGCGAGAGTTGCGGACAGCGTCATTGGGGGTAATCTGCACTATGGTGAGTGCACATGTCCCCTTTTTCTTATGCTGACGCTCATCTGGAGCGCTTGCCACGCAATCAACCTAACAATTTGCAACGTTGGTCCACAAAGAACTCTCCTGGATCGCCGTATCACCGATCTATGCTCGTCGAGGCGTGGGCAGAATGCTACTTCGTTGGGGCCTTGACCAATGTGATCAGCAAGGGATACCTGCATATCTGGAGAGCACTACAGAGGCTGCAAAGACGTTTTACGCAAAGGCTGGATTCAAAGAAAAAGGGAGAATTCAATTGATGGTAAAGGGCGAGTTGTACGAAGAGGTTGCTTGTCTGTATACGCCTAGGACTAGGGAAGATAAGGAAGACTGAAGATTGGAATAGCAGGCTACTGTACCGCCTAGCAATGGAAGACGCACCCACGAGGATGGATCGTCGAGCATTGAGCAACTACGCACCATGTGTCGCTCATGAGATCTGCGGGAGACGAGTGACCCCAAGCTTGCCAGTACAGAGCGGGTATGTCCTTGCATCGGGATCGTCTTGAAGTGGTCCCCGACGCGCCATAAGGTGCGTCATGTCATGGTCATGGTCATGGTCAGGGTCAGGGTCATGCTAGCGGAACAGGCCTACTAATTTGGCTCCAGGTGCTACTTAGCTCGTATTGGTGCACACATGGGTCAAGTCTGGTGGGAGCGACATGTTTGTTCAGATGCTGCTTATGCCCAGTCAAAAGATGCTCAACATGCCGTGATCGCCCCCGGGGATGAATCGGACGGTAGGTGGTTGCTGACACAAGAGGCCACGGCACAACATAGTAACAACATGACGCCACTGTTGGCCACTGGCGCGGCGATATTCATAGACGGCGGAACGCATGCAGGTGCTGTCATGGCCAGCTCAGTGGCAACAAAGTTTCCGTGGGAGGGGGTGTTTCGGAGCGGTGATGGTGGTGGATCTAGTTGTGATTCTAGAGCACGTTCGCGCTGCTGGCGTGGGCGTGGGCGGGCCAGGGAGGCATTCGTTCAGGAGCTCGCCCTCTTGCAACGACCCAATGCGCCGCCGCACACGCCCCACGGGGCCTCGCGTCGTCGAGCCGGGCGTCTTGGGCGACGACAACGCTCGCGCATCTGAAGCTGCGATGGGTTTTTCCAAACCATGTGTATAACGGGTGTAGCGGAGTTTAGCTCGTCGGGCTGGGCGCGGCAGCCAATCAGCGAATCCATGACACACGGATTTCCGCTTTTAGCCGTGGCCGTTGCATCACCGCCGCCGACGACGACGCCTTTTTGCATCCAGGTTGCGAATTGACTTCTCCTTTCGGCGCTTCTCTGCATCGCAACCATCTCGCGGCCCATACGCGGTATCCACCGCCGGGTCGCGCCCAAGACGCACTGGTCTTTCGGGTCACGCTGTCCGGCTCAATCGATGCTGAGGCCAGAAGGTACCGCCGGTTCTGCTTGACAGCCCAAGCCCTGGCTCTCGCCAGCACCCCAACGCACGCCTCTATATACTGGAACCCCCCTCCAAGGCATTTGCCTCTTCGCACCACGCTCTGGACCGCATTCCATCTGCCAATTGCCCCTTTCCCCTGGCCCGTCGCGCGCGCCCTCACACCCCGCAATGGAGCCCACATCGACTCATACGTCCACGTCTGAGCACACCCACGTCGATTCTCACGAGCTTAACGAGCTGGGCCCCACCCACCCATCCCCTTCTGTGCAGCCGGAGCAGGCCACAGGCAGGTCGCGCGTGCGCTTCAACAGCTCTGCCAACGTCCAAGTGGAAGCGCCCGTCGAGCACACCCGCAGCAGCTATGCCCGCCTGGACGAGACCGAGTCCAGCTCCGTGGCAGAACCCCCCACCGACCAGCACGCTGCAGACGCCGAAGAGCTGCTGAGGGCACACAACGCCCGCCTCGCGCATGCCGCAACGCTCGAAGGGCGGCCTCTGAGTGAAGCCGACTCGGATGGCGGCTATGCCGTGACGGGCAACAACAATGGAGGCATCTTCTACCAGATTCTCCAGACGTACAAGAACCCCGTGCCTCCATTTGCCGAAACGCCCTCTGAACACAGCAACCAATCGCCACCCCGCCAATCTGGATCCGCTTCGGGCGCAACCACGCCAAAGCGGAAATGGTACAATGCAAACAAGCCCGTCCAGTCAACCGACACACTGGCTACGCTGGTCGGTGCCTCGGCCAAGCTGGCAAACCCCAAGGACGAGAGCAAAGAGGCTCCCATGCGCCCGCGCTACCACAAGCGTACGCCCAGCGGTGGGCTCGTTTCAAAGATGTGGAAGGCCAAAGAAGACCAGGACGCAAAGATCAAAATTCACGTCGCCAACATTCTCAAGCGGCAGCAGTACATTATCCGCATGTGCCGCGCCCTCATGCTCTTTGGAGCACCCACCCACCGCCTTGAGGAGTATCTTGCCATGACGGCCAAGGTCCTGGAGATTAACAGCCAATTTCTCTACATTCCCGGCTGCATGATCATCTCCTTTGACGACAACCTCACCCACACGGCTGAGGTCAAGATTGTTCGCACCAACCAGGGCGTCAACCTCGCCAAGCTCAAGGACACACATGAGATTTACAAAGAGGTGTTGCACGATGTCATCAGCTTGGATGAAGCACTGACCCGCCTCGACAACGTCATCAACGCGAAGGATCGCCATCCCCGTTGGCTGACTGTCATCATGTACGGACTGGCTAGCGCGGCTGTTTCCGTCTTCTTTTCGGCACGGTTCATCGACATGCCCATCATCCTTGCTCTCGGGATCGTCCTCGGTATACTCCAGCTGGTCATTGCGCCGCTGTCCAAGACGTACAGCACCGTGTTTGAGATCTCGGCCACGATTCTCATGAGCTTCCTCGCCCGAGCATTTGGGAGCATCAACAATGGAAGTATCTTCTGCTTCTCTGCCATTGCACAGAGTTCCATTGCTTTGATTCTGCCTGGGTGGCTAGTGTTGAGCTCTGCCCTTGAGCTTCAATCGCGCGCCATTGTGCCCGGTTCGATTCGGCTCGTTTTCGCCATCATCTACTCCCTCTTCCTAGGATATGGCATCACTGTTGGCACGGCTCTTTACGGCGCCATGGACTCAAACGCCACAGAGTCAACCAAATGTCAGAACCCACTGAACCCATACTGGAACTTTCTGTTTGTGCCGCTGTACGTCTTCTTTACGACGTTTACAGTCCAAGCAAAATACAAGCAAATGCCCGCCATGATTACCATCGCTTTTGCCGGCTATCTCGTCAACTTTTACGCTAGCAAAAAATTCTCGCCTTCTGCCCCGATCGCATACACGTTTGGTGCCTTTACCATTGGCATCTTGGCCAATCTGTACAGCCGATTACGCCATGGAGTCGCCGCTGCTGTGCTCCTACCCGCCGTCTACGTACAGGTCCCCGGATCTCTTGCATCAAGTGGGAGCATCAACTCGGCTCTGCAGACAGCTTCAGCCCTGATCAAGGGCTCACAAGGATCGGTCGATGTAAGTAACTTGGCGCCAGCGGACATGGTCACCTCTAATGCGATACAGACTACCACGGACAGCTTGAACGCCATTGTCTTCAACGTCGCAGCTTCCATGATTCAGATTGCCATTGGCATTACCGTTGGCCTTTTCATGGCGGCGCTCCTTGTCTATCCCATGGGCAAACGAAGGAGTGGTCTTTGGACCCTGTAGAGTATAATTTCTGTTTGTTCTAGTTTGCATAGCGATTTGGCGTTTTGGGGAACCAAAAATGGGGGAGATTTGAAAAGTTCTGTGCTAATCACCAGTAGCTTTGAACACTACCACGTTCAATCTGGTCGGAATATCGTCGCGATGCGTGGTGTCGAGGTGAAGTGTGAAGGTAAGCCCCATTGCAGCTCAAGGTCGACTCCAGCGCAACTATCCGAGCCACTTCGACCGCCTTGCGACAAAACCCCAATCCCCAGACCCTGCGACATGGCCATCTGGTCACTCCCGCGAACCCGGCGTTCCTGCCTCCGGACATAGCCTTTGAGCCCGCCGAGCCCTTCCCATTCGCCAGCCCTGTACCATTGGCCCTCGCGCTTTTTGTCTACCTTTGGAATGAATCCAACCGGCCATCGTCCATCCATCTATCCACACCCGAGCGCCACTTCACTGACCCTCAGGCCATGCGACTACCAACTGCGACACATGCCGTGCCCTCGAATCCATCTCCCTTTTCCCGCCCAAGCTTCCAAGCAGCATCCACTTCCCACACCTTATTTTTCCACGCCAATATCTTTTTCTTCCTGCCCCACGGTCCGTGATGCTTCGTTTATGTTTGCGAAGGCATCATGTGGCGGTGTGAGACGGGGGAATGGAGTGCCAGCGTGTAAAAAAGCGGGTAAAATTAGATTTTGTGATGCATGTAGTGAATTTTTTTTATTGATGGCGTGATGATATATGAGTGAATTATAGATGGCACGAGTGGTCTTGACGTTATTTACTCGGGTGGTATTGAGTAGGTGTAGGACGGATGAGGGCGGCTGAGCAAGTTGTTAGTTGGTAGAAGAATTGTATAGCTGGTGATGACCGAATTTGATTAATAATATGTAAACTTTATTTCTACTTCCATGTGAGTTGGTAAGGAAATTGGCTTTTCTCATCCTCCCTATCTCCACGTGTGTGTGTGTGTATGTGTATATAATTATGCGTGCATACATGGTGCACTTCCTATCGCAGGTCTAAAGTCAGTTCTAGACCCTCTACCTATCCATTTTGGCTTATCTATATTCCTATCTTGATTTTTTTTTATCTGTCCAATATGACCCCGACACGACTCAGCAATTTGTCTAGCTTTCAGCATTCCCCCCCTTTTTTTCCCTCTCTCCTCTCTATTTTTCACCGTTACATGTCACATGCAGCTAATACACGTATGTGCCTATCCTAATCAAAACTAGTCTGCGCGCCTTTATTTCCGCCCTTCTCCTTTTATTTTGGCTATTTTGAGGAAAACGGTGGCGGAGAATGTGGAGATGTAGGGTTTCTATTACATAGTGTATATTGGGGTTGGGCAGCAATAGGGGAGGAAGGCGGGAGCATGATTCGTGGAGCAAAGTTGGTAAGTAGGAGTATAGGTATGGAAGATGGTATGTGCGTGGAGTAGTCTAGAATATATGTAGGATGTGGGGTACAAGTGTGGGGTGTGGAGTGTAGGAATGAGAAGCGATGGAAGTAAAAGGGGGGAAAAGCATGGAGGAATGTAGGAACGGAGAAAGAAGATAAGAAGGAAGGGTAGAAGGCAGGAAGAGAGGAAGAAAGGAAAGTATCACAGGATATCCAAGTAGAGTATAGTCGTATAGGTTAGTTTGATATTTTTTTTTCTTCGTCTCTAGTAGAGAGAAAGCAAGAATGATGGTGTTCCCACAAATGCAATATGCGAGAATGTCAAGGTCCAAGTCTATATTTCAGACTATGTATTGAACGCGTAAGTACACGTAGGATTGTAGATTGAAGATATGGCGTGGGATCATGTAGACGAATAGACGAATCGATGCTTAGATACGTGAACGTATAGATAAGCCGATGAAAGAGTTGAACCGATGAACCGATACTTCAAGGCGACGATCCGATGAGGCGATTACTGTGTGACCATGTGTGGGGGAACATCTGGGTAGTATCCATGTCAGAAATGATCAGATGTATCCAGTATAAACTAGGATAGTTTAGTAGTTTTACACCAGTGTTCTGATTGGCGATAGGAGACATGTGTCCGATGCTTAGCTCGAAGTAGCCAAAGTAAGTAGTACATAGTAGGTGCACATGACTGCAATCACCTCGATTAACCTTCTTTCTTTTTCATGTGTTTTCCTGTTTGAGAGAATCTTAATCAGGAAGCCTTGATACACACACACACTAAAGTCGACTCGATTCAGGTCACCTAGGATGTAGGTACTGGCTATCGCTGGGGGGAGGGAAACAAGACGGGTAGGGTAAAAAGTAGCGAGATGGTACGATTCAAACATATCACGCCATGTGTGTGACCTCGTATCCAGCTGGGAAATGCTTGAAGACCCCTCAACCCCAGCCCCAACGCCAACCCTGGCGATCGTCAGGAACCTCGCGATCTACATATCCTTGCCGTGGATCTCGCTGCTTTCTGGTTCCTGGTACTTGTAGATAGAGGGCATTGCAATTGCCTGGCCTCAGCCGCTGCCGCTGTTAGGGGCGCTGTCAGTGCCGATACAGAGCCGCATGTGCCGTGCAGGCATGTCTAACGGCATCAAAGGCGATGCAGGACAGACGGATATCGGGGACTTTTTTTTTGCAGGGATGTCGATCAGGGCAAGGGTGGGTGAATAGTGGGTTCGCGTAGAGAGTGGTGGGTTATAAGGCTGTATGCCAAGAGTCGAGTAGTGATATAAGGTTGCATGGAGGGTCTAGGAGGAGTTTGTTAGTTGTAAAAAAGAAGACTGGACTCTTCAACGTGGCAAAAGGATGTTGGGTGGGAATGGGCTTCAGTTTCCAGTCCTGACACGTTTCCCTCTGCTGTGCTGTGGAGAAGCAGTTGTGGTATGAAGTGGACATGGTACGGATATAATGTGCACAATGACGTCGTCGCATCACACGATCATGGCCCATGTCACAGACCATGAGAGCACAGTGCATGCTTTGGTCAAGCTACAGCAGTTCAAAGAAGCTTTCCAGGTGCCTTGGCCAGGAAATGAGGCATTTGGAGCCACACACCTACGTCAGCGGGCGATTGAGGCTCTGGCCGGCGTCGGAAGGCATACCCAAGCCAACCGTCTAGAAGACGCATGGAAGACGCACCGATGTTGTTGGGCTTACAACGACTAGACTGGAACGACAGGTGGCTGCATCTTGGGACCAAAGGCTCTCTGCGCAAGGGCCTATTGGCTGTATGCTGCTTACGCGAAAGGTGCAGCCTGTTGCGCGCATGCGGGTGGTACTCGGCGGCATCTTCTCGGGACCGATGTCTGACCAAGCTTGTGAGAGATGACCCAGTGCGATATTTCCGGCAGTACAGTCGTGCGTGACGAAACTGGCGGCGTCGACGGTCCCAACAAGCGCGGGATAAGGGCGGATAGGCAGGTGAAGAGAGCGAAGCAACGTGCAGAAACTTGTTGCGCGTACATGGCCGGGAATAAGAGTGTATGCGGACGAAGGGCTCCGCTATGTGCGTGGTAATAGGATGGACGGATTGCTAAGGCACAATGTGAAGCCAAGTTGCAGCATACGAGCTTACCAAGGGAGCGTGGTGTTGGGCGTTGTGGAGATTGACGGGACGAACGATGGAAGGTGCCGAGACCAGCACCTCGAATGGGAGATTTGGCAGGCGTGGACAGCATAGTGTACAGCTACAGATGGATAGGCGAAGTATCGTGGCTTTGTCCATGTAGACGCCCCGTTCGCCATGTAGATGCCAAGCTTTGGAGGCATGCACATGGTAATGTTTGTCGTACGATGCATCTGGAGCAGTGGGCTTAGGCAGGCGAGCAGAAGGGTACAAGTAAAAGCAGCGGCGTGATAGTGTAGGGCTGTGTTAGTGTCCGCCAGGATGAGCTGGCACTGGACCCTTAGATGGGGGCCGTGACGCTACTCCAAGGTGGGACTGTGCTAAGATATTTTTAAGGCGGGGGCTGTCGAGGAGGCGGCTGAGTCGTCGGGGTCGGGCAATTCCCATGACAGGCGTCGTGGGAGAGTCGAGCAGACACATGTGTTGTGTAATGTAGTGTAGTGTAGTGTAGTGTAGTGTAGTGTGTACGTGTAGACAATGCAGAGCGCTTGCATTAACATTCCACGGGCTGGGCCTAGTGTTGTCGATGGGTTCCGGAGCAGGCGAGCTCAGATGCGAGCAGGGCAGACAATTAAGCGTATGACTCGCTTATTTCCGCCGAGAGGCAGGGTCTTTTGGCTCGAGGGTGTTTATCCGGATAGAGGGGCGGGGCACATGATTGGCGGGCGAAGCGAGCCTGGGGCCTTACGTTGCAAACATGGGCGCTGTGTCAGCAGCGGGGCAGTCCATGTCGGGGCAGTCCCTCTTGCAGAAGCGAGAAGGTGGGCGGCGGCGAGATGGGAGCGAGACGGGCGCGAGGCATGGGCGAGGGTGACGGGGGCCATGGATGAGTGGTCCAAGGACAGAATCAGATAAGAGACGCATGCATCGGCCGCTGATCTTTGCCGGATGCGGCCAGTGCCGACGTGCCGGATGCATGGGGGAGAAGTGGGAGCTGGGAGGAATGGGAGCAGGGGGGACGGGGGGGAGGACGAGAGAGAGAGAGAGAGGGAGAGAGGGAGAGAGGGAGCGAGTCCAGCCAGTCGGTGGCCTGTACGTCATCCGATGGCTTGGCGGGAGAGGCCAAAATTACCTGTTTGGGAGTATGGTCTAGCGCAGGCGCAGCACGACGCCGCAGAAGGCCGCACACTGCGCCAGGTAAGGCTGTGTGGCCACGTGCATGCCTGTGTGTGCCATGCAGCGTCGTACGACGTGAGATTGGAGACGGTGCAATAGGCGAGGGGTGCGAGCAGAGTAGGGGACGGGAGAGGAGGTGTAGGTGTAGGTGTAGGTGTAGGTGTAGGGAGTAGGGCGTGTGAGTAGGGCGGCGCTGTGTGGCAGAGGCGTCTTATCGTGGTGTAGTGCTGCTGGTGTAGACCTACTGTGCTGTGCAGCGCAGCGCAGCGCAGCATGGCATAGCATGGCATGGCATGGCGTGATGTGTCCTGGCCGTCGCTTACGGGTAGACAGGTTACATGGCAGAGAGGGTGATAAGTCATGGCCATGTCGCTTACGTGGGCGCGCCACGTGCTCGGCCCTGGCCCCGACATTCACCGATGCCACCCGCCAGTCACCGTCACCAGCCAACCGCTGCACGACGACGACGACGACAATGACAACAACGACAATAAGAGAATCCCATACACAGCAGAGGCGCCACGGTCGCTGCAGCTGTACCCCGCACTCGCAGCCAGCACCAGCGAGGGCTGTTATCAGACTGATGGGTTGCAGCGGCGGGCTATGGCTGTACCACGACTACAGGACACGTTCGGCTCGCGACGCGCAAGGGCGGTGACGGAATGGGGAGCGCTGCATCCGTAGCCGTGAGTGGTTAGCGCGAACGATGCTTCTCTACGACCGAACTTCGGCCCATGCACCAAGAGGCTCGTCGTCGACGGCACTGGCACTGGCACAGTCAGGGTGGATTTGGCTGGCTACAACCCCGGCCCCCCGTATGTACGTCACTAGCATCTCGTCCCGTTCTCGCTGTATCTCGCCTTGTCGCTCTCTCGCGCTGGGCCGGGCTGCCTCTGACGGGGGACTGTGCGAGATGCGATGCGAGGGCCATGGTTGGTTAGCGTACCGCTCGACGACAGCGGTCCAGAATATCGGCCGTGCCAGGCTGCGACACCATGCTACCACTACCACTACATGTACACTGCCACTACACACCACTACACATCACTGCACTAGCACTACCGCTCGCACGCCCATGCATCCAGCCTTATCAATTCACCCTCGCGCAGAAACGTCTGGCGGTGCGCAAAGGCGGGGGACGGCGGGCTCAGGCTGGCGGCGGGCGGCGGGCGCTGCACAGCTGCTGCGGGTTAGCTCAGCAGGCCTGGCCCTGTTTTATCAAAGCCCCAAACCGGCTTAGCGCGCTCAAGGGCAGACCGCGGCAGGCACAGGCACAGGCACTTGGCGAGCCACTCGACGACCAGAATAACAACACTGCACCGCTGGCCCGTGCCCCCCGGCCGCCTGGGCCGAAAAGCACGGGCACGGGCACTGCGACTCTCCCACGCGCACTCGCACGGCTGCATCTGCCACCGTCAGGCTGCCTTATGCACGTCTTTTCGCTCAGCGCCACATGTGCCTGGGGTCCGCTCGTGGCCGTTGAACGCGGACATGATGGCATGCCCCTCCCCCCCCCCCAATCCCGCATCCCTGTCCGCGCCTCCGCCCGCCATGTGTAGCGACTAGACGCTGTTCCCAAGACAATGTGCGCCCTGCCTCTATAAGATCTCAGCTCGCCCGCCGCCGCCCTTGTGTAAGCCGTCTCCACCACATAAGCAATCTGCCCAGACGACGCTCGCACCACGGCTCTCTTCCATACCCGGCGACACTCTACAATACTACTACTACCACTACCACTACCGCTACCGCACTCGGTCCTCTCCACCGCCACCCACTCATCCCCCACCGCAATGGATTCTCATTCCTTTGACTACTGGATGGCTCAGGGCAACTACATTGCTCCCCTGCCCCACCAAGCCCCCGTCTATGACATGCCTCCGGATCTGTCCAAAGTCCCCAGTCTCAGCGGATCCCCCGTAAGCTCATTGCCATGCAATACCTGCCTGTTCCAAGCTCATGTCCACAAGGTTTCGTCCACATACG